AGATGCTGCCTTGGCAACAGCTAATGGGGATCCATAATAAATACAAATACATCAATGGCGTTAAAACAGAAATATTGTAGCCTGCACACGAAAGTGCACGTTTCTATTTATTTGTAATATGTCCTCCTCACAGCTTCTGCAATATGTTGAAAATACCAAGAAACTAAAAGCCTACACTAAAGGTGACGCATCCTAAAAAAAAAAGTATATAACTTTCAATTGAAATTGTCAATCTATTTTTACTTGGCATTGTTATTCACCGGAAGTAAATGTTGCAATTGAGGAACATTCATGAATCACATAATATTGGATCATTTTGCTTATTTTTCATGTTCAGAAAAGCTTCAGTTCGTTCACGAAAACCACCAAAAGTTGTCACAAATAGGGCAGGTAGAATACAGAGCGCAAACATGAACTTTAGTAATAGTACTTACAGGTCCCAACGTGCAGACTAGCGTTAAAACCAAGAAGCCTTTTGAAACATCCATAACGCTGGTCAATAAAGAAACGATTCGTCTTCTTTTTTAATATCCAAGAAAGATAATAAAACTATACACGTTGATGAATACAAAAAAATGCACTATAACTTTGAATAAAGAAACTCTGTGATAAGATATTGTAGCCTACTCGGGTCGGTAGTATGAGCGTGCGTAATGCGCTGTGATCAAATCTTTCAACTCTCACCGTGGACACACTTTTGAAATGCTTTCACCACCACTCCACTGAGGAGCAATGGTACCGAAGTCAGACGGGAACTGCACCCAGTCGGTGCGCCTCGGAACTTCACTCGTTTATAAATGATAATCTGGGTTCTTCCACTTGGAGGAAGACAACAATTTCCCTGTCCTCTAGTCATCATAAAATACATATTTAAAAAGGTGAGAACAACTCAAATTATATAAAGTTACCAACGTCATAAAGTGTTTGTAACTCAATTGTGATTTGACAAGACTACAATTATGCTGAATCAGATATGACACTGTGTTGCCCATGTGCAATTAGGCTGTCATAATCAAATCTTGGAATAAAGAAATCAAATGAACTAAAATATCCCCCAGTGCCCCACAACAAGAGAAAACCAACCTGTTCACTTCTGTTAAAAATATGGTAATCTCGTTTATCAGACATTTCCGCCTACTGTAATTAGCCTGTAGAAGGAGGATAAAACCATGGGAATCCTGTGCACAATGCTTTCTTTGATTGGGCAGGTGCAGTTTTCTGGCCCACTCCAGTCAGCTATGTTAAAACATGTTTAAAAGTCTTGTGACACTGGGTTATGTTGTGTATGCTGTGTTATAAGTTCACTCTCCATCCCCTTGCATAACTTCATATTAATGTAGAATGTAAATGCTACAGACCGAGACACACACACCTGGGCTAGTTGATAAAATCGTAAGCACTGCCATATTATCCAACCTGGTCTCAGAGCATTTCGTGATATTCTGTACGTATATCCGAGGAGAATCAATTTAGATTTTATTTGACATTTCGTATGGTATGTATTAATTTGTGGATGTCATCACATCGCATGATTTGTTACAAATTACAATTCGCATTATAAGTCACAAATTTGCCAAACGTACAATATGTTACGAATTTTGCAAATGTATGATATGTTACGAATTCTAGCTAGATGGCTAACGTTAGCTAGCTGGCTAACATTAGCTAGGCTAGGGGTTAGGGGTTAGGGTTAAGTTTAGGAGTTAGGTTAAAGGGTTAGGTTAGGGTTAAGGGAAGGGTTAAGGGTTAGGGGAAGGGTTAGGGTTAGGGGAAGGGTTAGCTAAAAGGGTTAAGGTTAGGGGAAGGGTTAAGGTTAGGGTTAGGGGAAGGGTTAAGGTTAGGGTTAGGGTTAGGGTTAGGGGAAGGGTTAAGGTTAAGGTTAGGGTTAGGGTTAGGGGAAGGGGAAGGGGAAGGGTTAAGGTTAAGGTTAGGGTTAGGGTTAGGGTTAAGGGTTAGAGTTAGGGGAAGGATTAGCTAAAAGGGTTAAGGTTAGGGTTAGGGGAAGGTTGAAGTAGTTGAAAAGTTGCTAATGAGCTAAAATGCTAAAGTTGTCATTGGCTAGACGTTTGCGTTATGCGTCCATCCATCAACCCCGACCAAACACCCTACTTTTGTTTTTGGCCTTAAGTAACCGTCTGCCTTATGTAACCGTCTGCCTTAAGTAACCGTCTGCCTTATGTAACCGTCTGCCTTAAGTAACCGTCTGCCTTATGTAACCGTCTGCCTTATGTAACCGTCTGCCTTAAGTAACCGTCTGCCTTAAGTAACCGTCTGCCTTAAGTAACCGTCTGCCTTAAGTAACCGTCTGCCTTATGTAACCGTCTGCCTTAAGCAACTGTCTGCCTTAAGTAACCGTCTGCCTTATGTAACCGTCTGCCTTAAGTAACCGTCTGCCTTATGTAACCGTCTGCCTTAAGTAACCGTCTGCCTTAAGTAACCGTCTGCCTTAAGTAACCGTCTGCCTTATGTAACCGTCTGCCTTAAGTAACCGTCTGCCTTAAGTAACCGTCTGCCTTATGTAACCGTCTGCCTTAAGTAACCGTCTGCCTTAAGTAACCGTCTGCCTTAAGTAACCGTCTGCCTTATGTAACCGTCTGCCTTAAGTAACCGTCTGCCTTATGTAACCGTCTGCCTTAAGTAACCGTCTGCCTTAAGTAACCGTCTGCCTTAAGTAACCGTCTGCCTTAAGTAACCATCTGCCTTAAGTAACCGTCTGCCTTAAGTAACCGTCTGCCTTAAGTAACCGTCTGCCTTAAGTAACCAAACCAAACATAATCATACTAATTTGAGTGTCCCGGATTTACATTTACTATGTTACGTCTAGTCTATGAGACCAGGCTGTATTATCCTGCAGCACATAGTAGCAGGCTGGGCCTCATCCTCCAACTCTTCCTAAACACCTCTCCCTCTAGGACAACACAGTGATCTTATCAGCTGGCAGAACAGGACAGGACCGGAAAGGACAGGGCAGAACAGGACAGGAGGAGCTCAGACAGACTAGGCAGATGAGTGTGCAGATGAGTGTGCAGATAAGTGTGCAGATAAGTGTGCAGATGAGTGTGCAGATGAGTGTGCAGATGAGTGTGCAGATGAATGTGCAGATGAGTGTGCAGATAAGTGTGCAGATGAGTGTGCAGATGAGTGTGCGTGCATGCACCAGTTTTTCTGTGTGTGCGTGTATGTGCATGCGTGCGATAGTGTGTGTATCCATCCAGATGCAAAGTGAAGAAAATCTCCATAAATCAGTCTAGAGTCTGTGTGTGAGACGGAGATCTCTAGTGTGCGTGTGGTGTGTGTGTGTGTGTGTATGTGAGGGAGATGTCTGCTCTGTTCCACCCCTGTCTGTCTATGAGTTCATCTTATCTCTAAAAGAGGAACGTTATTCTCAGCCTCTGCTCTGGGGCCATAAACAATGTATCGTACACACAATATAACTGTCATTTTGTCCTGTGATTATATGACCTCCAACACTGTTTGAACCTCAATAAAATCCCTGACCTTCTCTGGTGAATTACAGTGGGAGAACGAGTTTACCATCTGTCTACTGCTATGTGTAAAACCCTGGTAGACGACAAGAATGGGTAGTGATGTGGGGTATAGTGACTGTAGGCTACTCATCTGAATGGCCGTGCTCTACCTTTGAAAGGTCTTTCACGTTAGACTGTTGCATCCGCATTGATCTGCTTTCTGCATGGGGGTCAGGGAGGTCATTGCTTTTTGACAGTGTGAAAGGCCCTGTAGCAGTACTCAAGGCGTGTATCGGTTTCTGTAGAACCTATAGAACCTATAGAACCTGTAGAACCTATAGAACCTGTAGAACCTATAGAACCTATAGAACCTGTAGAACCTGTAGAACCTATAGAACCTGTAGAACCTATAGAACCTGTAGAACCTATAGAACCTATAGAACCTGTAGAACCGGTAGAACCTATATAACCTGTAGAACCTATAGAACCTATAGAACCTATAGAACCGGTAGAACCTATAGAACCTATAGAACCTGTAGAACCTATAGAACCTATAGAACCTGTAGAACCGGTAGAACCTATAGAACCTGTTGAACCTATAGAGCCTATAGAACCTATAGAACCAGTAGAACCTATAGAACCTGTGCCAGGATACTCTCTGGATTCGGTGTAGTACGTACAAATCTCTTTGAAAATATAGTGAAAGGACGCAAGAAAAACTCAAGGACACCCATCGTCTTTCCAGCTGTAAGCCTACTATACCATAGCCAGAATTGTTTGGCACCTCTGCGGACAAATCTGGTGAATGAAACCTTCCTACGGCTTCTAACGGGATTGACAGAAAACGTTATTTTATGTTAATTTCTTCGTAGAGCACAAAGTGAATTCACGCTGGCATTCAAACAGCATCTGTCTAAGAGGCTTGGTACATTTGTATGGACTGCTGGTTCTTTGTACTCTCAGGAGTTGCTTCCATTTCCACTCAATGTGTAAATGATTTACTGCCTTTTATCTGTTAATGGGGTCTTAGCGCCCTCTAGTGTTTTCCTGTGGAAATAAAGAGGATAATGGGCTATCACTTGATTATTATTTTTTTAACATTTTTTTATTTTTTTATTATTGTTTGACAGTAGTTCTAATTATGTACAATTACGGTTACGGGTATAGATAGATACATAGCTTCAGGAGTGAAAATTAAATTATATACTTTTCTTTCATTCATAATCTTTATTGGTGCTTCATACAAAGAAATGAAGCAATAAAGTTAAACAGCATGTTAAAAAAGCTAAAGTAATATACAAATTGTATACTAACTGTCAAAACAATTACTATTAGTTCACTTCAAATAGACAAATTGTTCATTTTGATACAGTAGAATAAAGACAACTTTCATATCAACCTATTTGAAAAGGCCCTCCTGCTGGAGAGTTACTGGGTGTAGAGGCTTTTGTTCCAGCCCTGCTCTAAACACACCTTATTCTAGGTTTGAGACCATCTCCAGTATATATATATATTTTTTTTTTATAGAGCTGATCACATTTTGGTGAGACGAAGTGTATTGAGCTTCACGGCGAGAATCGTGGCGCCTGCAGCATAGCTAATCTCTCTCAAAATCCCATTCCAGCAGTCCTCCTCAAATCTGTGGGGAAAAAAGAAAGTGCATGGTTCATTGTCTGTGGATTCTCTACACGGATCCAGCAGCACCAACACATTTTTAGATTAAGAACTTTTGATTGAGTACATTCCCAGTGGTTACAACTAGTTGTAATGACGTAAGTTCAGTCAATGTTGCCCTCAATGGGTAATGGGAATTGTTCATTATTACAACATTCCATCACTGACCTCCAGGTGTTGTTCATCTCAGTGTAGCGCTTATGAAGACCTTATGAATGCTCTATGAAGCCTTTATAAGCTGTTATATAACTGACCTCCAGGTGTCGTTCATCTCAGTGGGATGTGGTTATCTACATCAGGGGTTTTCAAACCAGACATTCTATGTATTTTAACTATTGCACAGCTGACACACCTGATTCAACCTGTCAACTAATCATCAAGCCCTTAAATAAGTGAATCAGGTGAGTTAGTTCGGGGCTAATCTCTCATAACTATGGGCGGCAGGTAGCTTAGTGGTTAAGAGCGTTGTGGCAGTAACCGAAAGGTCGCTGGTTCTGAGCCGACTAGGTGAAAAATCTGCCGATGTGCCCTTGAGCAAGGCACTTAACCCTAATTGCTCCTGTAAGTCGCTCTGGATAAGAGTGACTAAAATGGAAAATGTAAACATAAATGGCACTGTCGCCTCTGACTGAGCATCTGACCAGATTATGCAAGATTTTAATTCTGGGTTAACTGAGATTAGTTCAGGGATACAACAATATTAACTGTCTGGGTGTCCCAGAGGAGAGGTTTAAAAAACAACTGATATACAGTATGCAGTGCCTATGAGTGATCTACGAAGCATTTATAAGACTTAATAAATGCTCTATAAAGCCTTTATAAATTGTTATAGCACTGACCTCCAGATGTCGTTAATCTCAGTGGTTAGCAACAGTATGCAGTGCTTATGAATGCTCTATAAAGCACTATGTAGTGTGTTTGAATGCTTTATAAGATGTTATAGAAATTACCTCCAGATGTCGTTCATCTCGGTGGGCTGTGGCTGGTCACTGATCTCGCTGGGCATCATGGCAAAGCCCCCCACAGCGTACAGACATTCCCCCATAGTGATCATGTTCATGGAGCTACGCTCCTGGGGGAACTCTAAAAACTCTGACCACCTGGATCACAGCACACACATTATAATGACATCACAGCACACACATTATAATGACATCCACAGCACACCACATTATAATGACAATCACAGCACAACACATTTAATGACAATCACCGGCACACACATTATAAGGACATCACATCACAAAGCACACCATTATAATGACATCACAGCAACACACATTAAAACACCATTATAAATGACTCACATCACACCATTATAATGTACATCCACAGCACACACATTATAATGACATCACAGCACACACATTATAATGACATCACAGCACCACTTATAATGACATCACAGCACACACCTTCAAACACACATATAATGACAATCCCAGCACACACTTAAAACCCATTATAATGACATCACAGTAACACACATTAAAACACACATTATAATGAACATCACAGCACACACATTAAACACCATTAATAAGACACACAGTACACACATTAAAACACAACATTATAATGACACACATTAAACACACATTTAAGAGACATCAACATAACACTAATACATCACATTAAACACACATTATAATGACATCACATTAACACTTAAAACACGACCATTATAATGACATCACAGTACACAAAACACACTTATAATGACATACAGCACACACTTAACACATTATAATGACATCACAGCACACACATTACATCACGACACACATTATCACATGACATCATCAGCCAACACACATTATATGACTCACAGTCCACATAAACACAATATGACACCGACACCAACACATTATAATGACATCACAGCAACCTAAACACACATTATATGACATCACAGCACACACTTAACCACTTATAATGACATCACAGTCACACAAACACACATTATAATGACATCACAGCACACACATTGAAAACACACATTATAATGACATCACAGTCACACACATTAAAAACACACATTATAATGACATCACCACAAACACATTATATGACACACATCCATCACAAGCACACACATTATAATGACCACACACTAACACAAACATCACCACTTAAAACACACATTATAATGACATCACACACAACACATTATAATGACATCACACACACACATTATAATGACTCAACACACATAAACACATTATAATGACATCACAGCACACACATTAAAACGCACTTATAATGACATCACAGCACACATAAAAAATTATAATGACATCACCACACAAGACACACATTATAATGACATCACAGCACACACATTAAACACCAACCATTATAATGACATCACAGCACACACATATAATACACACAGCACACACATTATAATGACATCACAGCACACACATTAAACCACATTATAATACATCACAGCACACAAACCATTATAATGACATCACAGCACACACATTAAAACGCACATTATAATGACATCACAGCACACACATTATAATGACATCACAGCACACACATTATAATGACCTCACAGCACACACATTATAATGACATCACAGCACACACATTATAATGACATCACAGCACACACATTAAAACCAAGCACACATTATAATGACATCACAGCACACACATTAAACCACATTATAATACATCACAGCACACACATTACAATTATGACATCACAGCACACACATGAAAACACACATTATAATGACATCACACACACACACATTAAAACACACATTATAATGACATCACAGCACACACATTAAAACGCACATTATAATGACATCACAGCACACACATTATAATGACATCACAGCACACACATTAAAACACACATTATAATGACATCACAGCACACACATTAAAACACACATTATAATGACATCACAGCACACACATTAAAACACACATTATAATGACATCACAGCACACACATTAAAACACACATTATAATGACATCACAGCACACACATTAAAACACACATTATAATGACATCACAGCACACACATTAAAACGCACATTATAATGACATCACAGCACACACATTAAAACGCACATTATAATGACATCACAGCACACACATTAAAACGCACATTATAATGACATCACAGCACACACATTATAGTGACATCACAGCACACACATGAAAACACATATTATAATGACATCACAGCACACACATTAAAACACACATTATAATGACATCACAGCACACACATTAAAACGCACATTATAATGACATCACAGCACACACATTAAAACGCACATTATAATGACATCACAGCACACACATTAAAACGCATATTATAATGACATCACAGCACACACATGAAAACACACATTATAATGACATCACAGCACACACATGAAAACACACATTATAATGACATCACAGCACACACATTAAAACGCACATTATAATGACATCCCAGCACACACATTAAAGCACACATTATGATGACATCACAGCACACACATTAAAACGCACATTATAATGACATTACAGCACACACATTAAAACGCACATTATAATGACATCACAGCACACACATTAAAACACACATTATAATGACATCACACTACACACATTAAAACACACATTATAATGACATCACAGCACACACATTAAAACGCACATTATATAATGACATCACAGCACACACATTAAAACGCACATTATAATGACATCACAGCACACACATTATAATGACATCACAGCACACACATGAAAACACACATTATAATGACATCACAGCACACACATTAAAACACACATTATAATGACATCACAGCACACACATTAAAACGCACATTATAATGACATCACAGCACACACATTATAATGACATCACAGCACACACATTAAAACACACATTATAATGACATCATAGCACACACATTAAAACACACATTATAATGACATCACAGCACACACATTAAAACACACATTATAATGACATCACAGCACACACATTAAAACACACATTATAATGACATCACAGCACACACATTAAAACGCACATTATAATGACATCACATTACACACATTAAAACGCACATTATAATGACATCACAGCACACACATTAAAACGCACATTATAATGACATCACAGCACACACATTATAGTGACATCACAGCACACACATGAAAACACATATTATAATGACATCACAGCACACACATTAAAACACACATTATAATGACATCACAGCACACACATTAAAACGCACATTATAATGACATCACAGCACACACATTAAAACGCACATTATAATGACATCACAGCACACACATTAAAACGCATATTATAATGACATCACAGCACACACATTAAAACACACATTATAATGACATCACAGCACACACATTAAAACGCACATTATAATGACATCACAGCACACACATTAAAGCACACATTATAATGACATCACAGCACACACATTAAAGCACACATTATAATGACATCACAGCACACACATTATAATAAGTGGATTGAATAGAGCCCTTACTGGTTTGTAGCGATGTCATAGACCTCTACAGTGCTGGTGAGTCCTGTGTCTGTGACGCCCGTGGCCACGTAGATCTGGTCGTTGTGGACCGTCACAGCGAACAGAGAACGAGCCAGCTTCATAGGAGCTAGCTCCTTCCACTCAAACCTAGTGGGGTTGTAGACACACACCCTCCGTAGGCACTTCCTATAGAGAGCAATACAATACATTACGGTAACATTATAGCAGAACTCATAGTTGTAGTGTGGTGTCGAGACAACGATGCTGATATGCTGTGATGACAAGAAATCCGCTGACACTGTCCTTGATTATAATGGTTTATTATATAAAAGATAACAGTATCAATTTACAGACTCCTGCAGACATCTGGAGAACAACTGACCCAATCTCTAATATGTTATTCTCCCCGTCCTTTGTTCCAACCATGGTATTTATAACATGTAACATAATATGGGTGTTTTTTTATAGACCAATCCCTGGCCTTCACATAACAGACTCTCCTCTGTTTTAGGGGGCCCCTATAGTAATGTTTTCCAGATGTTTCCGCAAGCAGAGATACATTCTGGAATGTTCAGATACTACAGTAGACACACACCCTGCGTATGCACTTCCTATAGAGAGCAATAGCGTCTGCTAAATGGCATATTATTATTATTATTTATTATTATTACGGTAACATTATACCAGAACTCATAGTTGTAGACATAGCTGCGGTGCTGCAGCATCCCCTGAATAATCTGAAGAAGAAAAAAAAAATGTAATAAAAAATATATGCTTTTTGTAGAATTTCTTTTTTCTCACAAAAGTAGTGCACTGGGCCTTTACCAGTCCTGTGTTAGTGGACCGATATAGTCATCTGTAGCAAGCCAAAAAAAAACAGCAGTTCGGTAGACAACAACAACAACAATAAACGACTCAATTATTTCCAATCGCGATTAAAATGCAGCGTCTGTTTACTGTTTAGGTTGGCTTTAGGACCATGCAGAGCATTGCTCGGAAGGGGCAGCTGCCAGCCTGTGAGCCTTTTCTGTCACTTTTAGAAAGCAGAGGGCAGAGACAGTTGTTAAGGCAGTGAGCCGATTGCTTTTCATTTGATGTCGGCATTTGAATTTGGCCTTGTAAATCTTGTTGTAATCTGATAGCCAGGGGTTAATTTAATTGGGAATTGGGAGGTGGGGAGCCCTCCTTTTTGGTGACCATTCGAAACCAAAAGTTGTTTTATTGCTATTTAAATACAGGTTGTGATAGCTGTAAGCCTAATTGTTATTTTAATTTATTCGCCCAGTAGGCTAGTGCAATTTTGGTTTCATGTAGGCCTATTGGTATGAGGACCTCCGCTACTCAACTGTTGCCCAAAATAATGTCTAACTGCCTATTCTAGCTGGCTACTAGACAGAGGTGCTGTCCATTCAGCCACACCCCACGGAGCTCCACTATGCCTACCTGTACCGAGGTGCTGTCCATTCAGCGGTGCTGAATCACGGGCACTGCCTTAATGTGTAGATTTTCCTTTTGTATTTCATGATGTTCTTCATTCCTTGGTCGAATTTGTTTTTCTTTATGCGTCTTTTGTCGTTTGTAGGCCTAAGTAAGTCCTTTGAGGTACGCCTTTTTATTTCGATGCATGTGTAGGATTTATCTGGCATCGTTTGTATTCGCAGTCAGCTATTTTATGCTCTGGTTACTTTCACATTGATGTTGGTATTTGAACTCGGCCTTGATAGCGTGTTTTATGCATCTATTTCATGTTGCACTCTATGCGCTGTTCCACAAGTAGGCTAAAATGAGTCAATGTAGCCTACGTATGATGAGGTTGAGTAGTACATTGTTTGCGCCATTCCACAGACATTTAAACCTAATAAACAATATTGTGACGAAACATGCAAACCATGATTAGGGGAACGGCGTACAATCTTCAAAAGTGCGACTTACTTGCTCTCCGTCTTTCCTCCTATGACGTAGACAAGGCCATTGTGTGAGACAGTTCCATGACCATAGACTGTGTAGGGAAGAGGGTCTGACTCGCCCCATTTAAATGACCTGTAGAACATAACATCGTTTTTTTTTAAATCAACAGTCTCTTGTTTGTCTTTACCATTGACAGAAAGCTAGAGAGAGTGAGAGAGATACAGAGAGCAAGAGAGAGATACAGAGAGCAAGAGCGATACAGAGAGCAAGAGAGATACAGAGAGCGAGAGAGATACAGAGAGCGAGAAAGAGAGAGGATAGAGAGAGACAGAGACGGTCCCTGTACTGTACTCACTGTCTGTCATAGATCATGACAGAGTCTAGAACACGTTCTCCCTCTTTCATCTCCTTGCCGCCCACAACAAAGATGGAGTTTGCTGCTTCAGTAAGCCCAAACAGGCAGCGCGGTCCTGGCAGTGAGGGCATCCCCAGCCACTCTCCGCTCATAGGGTCAAACTGGAGGAGATAGGAAGATTACCAGAATGGTTTAATTGGTACTATCAATGTGGGTCAAACTGGAGGAGGGAGAAATATTACCAGAATGGTTTATCAATGGTATAATACTTCATATCATTCTGCTTGTAGTAAGTCAAAGTATCTCTCTGGCACAGGGAGTTATAACAACCAAAATGTCAGCAAAGCACATAAGGATGATGGTCAAACAGTCTGTCTGAATGTTAATCACCACCAGACCATGCAGAGAGCCATTCCTTATTAATGTTTAATAATAGCAGAGAGCCATACTTGACTAATGTTTAATAATAGCAGAGAGCCATACCTGACTAATGTTTAATAATAGCAGAGAGCCATACCTGACTAATGTTTAATAATAGCAGAGAGCCATACCTGACTAATGTTTAATAATAGCAGAGAGCCATACCTGACTAATGTTTAATAATACCAGAGAGCCATACCTGACTAATGTTTAATAATACCAGAGAGCCATACCTGACTAATGTTTAATAATACCAGAGAGCCATACCTGACTAATGTTTAATAATACCAGAGAGCCATACCTGACTAATGTGTAATAATAGCAGAGAGTCGTACCTGACTAATGTTTAATAATAGCAGAGAGCCATACCTGACTAATGTTTAATAATAGCAGAGAGCCATACCTGACTAATGTTTAATAATAGCAGAGAGCCATACCTGACTAATGTTTAATAATAGCAGAGAGCCATACCTGACTAATGTTTAATAATAGCAGAGAGCCATACCTGACTAATGTTTAATAATAGCAGAGAGCCATACCTGACTAATGTTTAATAATAGCAGAGAGCCATACCTGACTAATGTTTAATAATAGCAGATAGCCATACCTGACTAATGTTTAATAATAGCAGAGAGCCATACCTGACTAATGTTTAATAATATCAGAGAGCCATACCTGACTAATGTTTAATAATAGCAGAGAGCCATACCTGACTAATGTTTAATAATAGCAGAGAGCCATACCTGACTAATGTTTAATAATAGCAGAGAGCCATACCTGACTAATGTTTAATAATACCAGAGAGCCATACCTGACTAATGTTTAATAATACCAGAGAGCCATACCTGACTAATGTTTAATAATACCAGAGAGCCATACCTGACTAATGTTTAATAATACCAGAGAGCCATACCTGACTCATGTTTAATAATACCAGAGAGCCATACCTGACTCATGTTTAATAATACCAGAGAGCCATACCTGACTAATGTTTAATAATACCAGAGAGCCATACCTGACTAATGTTTAATAATACCAGAGAGCCATACCTGACTAATGTTTAATAATAGCAGAGAGCCATACCTGACTAATGTTTAATAATAGCAGAGAGCCATACCTGACTAATGTTTAATAATAGCAGAGAGCCATACCTGACTAATGTTTAATAATACCAGAGAGCCATACCTGACTAATATTTAATAATACCAGAGAGCCATACCTGACTCATGTTTAATAATAGCAGAGAGCCATACCTGACTAATGTTTAATAATAGCAGAGAGCCATACCTGACTAATGTTTAATAATACCAGAGAGCCATACCTGACTAATGTTTAATAATAGCAGAGAGCCATACCTGACTAATGTTTAATAATAGCAGAGAGCCATACCTGACTAATGTTTAATAATAGCAGAGAGCCATACCTGACTAATGTTTAATAATAGCAGAGAGCCATACCTGACTAATGTTTAATAATACCAGAGAGCCATACCTGACTAATGTTTAATAATACCAGAGAGCCATACCTGACTAATGTTTAATAATAGCAGAGAGCCATACCTGACTAATGTTTAATAATACCAGAGAGTCATACCTGACTAATGTTTAATAATAGCAGAGAGCCATACCTGACTAATGTTTAATAATAGCAGAGAGCCATACCTGACTAATGTTTAATAATACCAGAGAGCCATACCTGACTAATGTTTAATAATACAAGAGAGCCATACCTGACTAATGTTTAATAATAGCAGAGAGCCATACCTGACTAATGTTTAATAATACCAGAGAGCCATACCTGACTAATGTTTAATAATAGCAGAGAGCCATACCTGACTAATGTTTAATAATACCAGAGAGCCATACCTGCCTAATGTTTAATAATACCAGCGAGCCATACCTGACTAATGTTTAATAATAGCAGAGAGCCATACCTGACTAATGTTTAATAATAGCAGAGAGCCATACCTGACTAATGTTTAATAATAGCAGAGAGCCATACCTGACTAATGTTTAATAATACCAGAGAGCCATACCTGACTAATGTTTAATAATAGCAGAGAGCCATACCTGACTAATGTTTAATAATACCAGAGAGCCATACCTGCCTAATGTTTAATAATACCAGAGAGCCATACCTGACTAATGTTTAATAATAGCAGAGAGCCATACCTGACTAATGTTTAATAATAGCAGAGAGCCATCCCTGACTAATGTTTAATAATAGCAGAGCCATACCTGACTAATGTTTAATAATAGCAGAGAGCCATACCTGACTAATGTTTAATAATACCAGAGAGCCATACCTGACTAATGTTTAATAATACCAGAGAGCCATACCTGACTAATGTTTAATAATAGCAGAGAGCCATACCTGACTAATGTTTAATAATAGCAGAGAGCCATACCTGACTAATGTTTAATAATAGCAGAGAGCCATACCTGACTAATGTTTAATAATAGCAGAGAGCCATACCTGACTAATGTTTACAAATAGCAGAGAGCCATACCTGACTAATGTTTAATAATAGCAGAGAGCCATACCTGACTAATGTTTAAAAATAGCAGAGAGCCATACCTGACTAATGTTTAATAATAGCAGAGAGCCATACCTGACTAATGTTTAATAATAGCAGAGAGCCATACCTGACTAATGTTTAATAATAGCAGAGAGCCATACCTGACTAATGTTTAATAATAGCAGAGAGCCATACCTGACTAATGTTTAATAATACCAGAGAGCCATACCTGACTAATGTTTAATAATAGCAGAGAGCCATACCTGACTAATGTTTAATAATAGCAGAGAGCCATACCTGACTAATGTTTAATAATAGCAGAGAGCCATACCTGACTAATGTTTAATAATAGCAGAGAGCCATACCTGACTAATGTTTAATAATAGCAGAGAGCCATACCTGACTAATGTTTAATAATAGCAGAGAGCCATACCTGACTAATGTTTAATAATACCAGAGAGCCATACCTGACTATGTTTAATAATAGCAGAGAGCCATACCTGACTAATGTTTAATAATAGCAGAGAGCCATACCTAACTAATGTTTAATAATAGCAGAGAGCCGTACCTGACTAATGTTTAATAATAGCAGAGAGCCGTACCTGACTAATGTTTAATAATAGCAGAGAGCCATACCTGACTAATGTTTAATAATAGCAGAGAGCCATACCTGACTAATGTTTAATAATAGCAGAGAGCCATACCTGACTAATGTTTAATAATAGCAGAGAGCCGTACCTGACTAATGTTTATTAATAGCAGAGAGCCATACCTGACTAATGTTTAATAATAGCAGAGCGCCATACCTGACTAATGTTTAATAATAGCAGAGAGCCGTACCTGACTAATGTTTAATAATAGCAGAGAGCCGTACCTGACTAATGTTTAATAATAGCAGAGAGCCATACCTGACTAATGTTTATTAATAGCAGAGAGCCGTACCTGACTAATGTTTATTAATACCAGAGAGCCGTACCTGACTAATGTTTAATAATAGCAGAGAGCCATACCTGACTAATGTTTAATAATAGCAGAGAGCCGTACCTGACTAATGTTTAATAATAGCAGAGAGCCATACCTGACTAATGTTTAATAATAGCAGAGAGCCATACCTGACTAATGTTTAATAATAGCAGAGAGCCGTACCTGACTAATGTTTAATAATACCAGAGAGCCATACCTGACTAATGTTTAATAATAGCAGAGAGCCATACCTGACTAATGTTTAATAATAGCAGAGAGCCATACCTGACTAATGTTTAATAATAGCAGAGAGCCGTACCTGACTAATGTTTAATAATAGCAGAGAGCCGTACTTGTAGGAAGTATGAGCTGAGTGGGTCCTCCTTGTTGTCCTCGTTGAGGAGGAATCCTCCAGCAACAAACACCTGGTTCTCCTTGGTTACCAGACTGCAGTGGTTCTTAGGGATCTCTGTCGACTCAGACGCCACGAAACACTCGTTCCCCACCGGGTCGTACGCTACGCTCCCCGTGTCGCTGATCATCAGGATCAGGTCTGTCTCAAACATCCCGAACCGAGGGTTATTGTTCAGGATCCCCGGAAGCAAACCTTGCTCATCGTCAGAGTCTTCTTCATCTTCCTTGTCGCCTGCCATCTTGGACTTCCTGTTCCTTGACCTTTTGACCTCTGGGAGTCTTCCTTTGTGCGCGTCTTTGATCAGCTGCAGCTCTTTCTTGACCTCTGCGTTGGCCCGAATCCACTTGTGATCTTCAACCTTCTCTGTGAAGTAATCCACTGGGATCAGGCGGAAGCGGACGCAGTGCAGGAGATCCGGCAGCTCCTTCATCCTCTCCATTCTGTCGTAGCCCACCCAGTCCATCAGAGACTCAAACACCACCTAAATGTCCAGGTCAAGAGGACCACAATGGGAAAAGGTTAATGGGTACATCCCAAATCAATCTATCCATCCATCCATCAACCACCCACCTCCTCTCGGTCCACGTTGAGTGCGTCAGAAGTGATGATGGCTGCCAGCTCACTGGGGCCCAGCTGGTGGATAGATAAATATACTTTATTGTCAATTGTCACAGAGACAGAAACATTAATATTTTTCCTTTAACCTTTTACTGCAGTGGGCTAAATAAGGGTCACACAGAGTGTTTCTTGGTTGTCTTAAACAAATCTACTTTGAAACCAAAGCATACACCTCACACACATGGTTATGGGCTTAAAAAAGAAGACACCTGTACCATGTCAGATATAGAGTAGAAATGTATTACATTTTGAGTTTGCATCCAAATATTACACTTTATTTACATCACAGAAGACTGAAAGATAAGAAAACCGTTTGACATAGCAACACCAGATGTTCATCAGATTTTTTTTAAATAATGTTTATTAATTCTGAAATTCTGAAAAATATTAATAACATTCCACCCATGAGGCCACTAGTCATTTGACTGCAGTAAAGGGCTAACCAAATACCCCAACACACACACACACACACACTCTAGGTTACCTGGTGAAAGTCCTGGTCCCTGACGATGAGCTGGTAGCGCTCACAGATGAACTCTCTAGCTGTGAAAGCCAGGCGGGGGCAGTCCAATAGAAGCCCCAGCCTGAAAATAGCCAGGCAGTTCCCCAGCACCAGCTTCTCCTGGAGGTAAATATACAACATATCAGGGACATTTTCTTATCTTGTTTAATCGCGTCCCCCAGGACCAGAGAGAGAGAGAGAGAGATAATAGAGATAGAGAATAGAGAGGAGACAGTAGATATATAGGATGAGAAGAGATAGAGAGACGATAGAGAGAGATAGTATAGAGAGACAGAGCGACATAGAAAGAGACAGATCGACATAGAGAGACAGATAGACAGAGAGAGAGAGAGAGAGAGAGAGAGAGATAGAGAGAAGAGAGAGAGAGAGAGAATAGAGACAAGCGAGACAGAGACAGACAGAGACACAGAGACTAGACAGAGACAGAAAGACAGAGACAGAGACAAAAGACGATAGAGAGCGAGAGAGAGAGAGAGCGAGAGAGAGAAGAGAGAGAGAGAGCGCGACAGAGACAGAAGACAGGAGAGATAAAGAAAGCGACAGAGACAGAGAGATAGAAGACAGAGAGAGAGACGAGACAGAGACAGAGACAGAGACAGAGACAAGACAGAGACAAGAGACAGAGACGAGACAGAGACCGAGACAAGAGAAGATAGAGAGACAGAGAACAAGAGAGAGAGAAAAGATAGACAGAGAGAGAGAGAGAGACAGAGAGACAGAGAGCAGAGAGAGAGACAGAGACAGAGAGACAGAGAGACAGAGAGAGAGAGACAGAGACAGAGAGACAGAGAGACAGAGACAGAAAGACAGAGAGACAGAGACAGAGAGACAGAGAGAGAGAGAGAGAGAGAGAGAGAGAGAGAGAGAGAGAGAGAGAGATGCTACCTGTAGGTAGGAGACACAGACGGAGAAGATAGATGGGATCTGGTACATGTTGGCCACCATGAAGATATCCTGGACGTTCTGCTCTGTCAGGTTGATGTCCGAGGTATAGATGTATCGGAGTATCATCGCCATGACGCCAGGCTCCACGTCTTTCAGAATGATCTCCCTTTTCCCCCCTTCCTCCAGGTTGGACAGGAACATAGCCTTGAAGAAGAAGAAGAAGAAGAAGAAGAATCAACCAATCGATCAATCAACCAATCATGATTGATGATAATATGATCGATTATAATATATAATATATGCTATTTAGTGGAAGCTTTTCCCCAAGGCGGTGAGTGCGTACATTTTAGTACATGTGACCTAGCACAGTGTTTTTCAAACTCCAGCCTGTGGACCTGTACCGGCCTTTGGGATGTTGTTGACCAGTCCCACATACACTACCGGTCAAAAGTTTTAGAACACCTATTCATTCAAGAGTTTTTCTTTACTTTGTAGAATAATAGTGAAGACATCAGAACTATGAAATGGCACATATGGAATCATGTAGTAACCAAAAAAGTGTTAAACAAATCAAAATATATTTGAGATTTGAGATTCTTCAAATAGCCATCCTTTGCCTTGATGACCGGTTTGCACACACTTGGCATTCTCTCAACCAGCTTCACCTGGAATACTTTTCCAACAGTCTTGAAGGAGTTCCCACATATGCAGAGCACTTGTTGGCTGCTTTTCCTTCACTCTGCGGTCCGACTCATCCCAAACCATCTCAATTTGGTTGAGGTCGTAGGATTGTGGAGGCCAGGTCATCTGATGCAGCACTCCATCACTCTCCTTCTTGGTAAAATAGCCCTTACACAGCCTGGATGTGTGTTGGGTCATTGTCCTGTTGAAAAACAAATGATAGTCCCACTAAGCCCAAACCAGATGGGATGGCGTATCGCTGCAGAATGCTGTGGTAGCCATGGTGGTTAAGTGTGCCTTGAATTCTAAATAAATCACAGACAGTGTCACCAGCAAAGCACCCCCACACCATAAGACCTCCTCCTCCATGCTTTACGGTGGGAAATACACATGCAGAGATCATCCGTTCACCCACACCGCGTCTCACAAAGACACGGCGGTTTGAACCAAAAATGTTCAATTTGGACTACAGACCAAAGGACACATTTACCACCGGTCTAATGTCCATTGCTCATGTTTCTTTGCCCAAGCAAGTTTCTTCTTATTATTGGTGTCCTTTAGTAGTGGTTTCTTTGCAGCAATTTGACCATGAAGGCCTGATTCACACAGTCCCCTCTGAAAGTTGATGTTGAGATGTGTCTGTTACTTGAACTCTGTGAAGCATTTATTTGGGCTGCAATTTCTGAGGCTGGTAACTCTATTGAACTTATCCTCTGCAGCAGAGGTAACTCTGGCACTTCCATTCCTGTGGCGGTCCTCACGAGAGCCAGTTTCATCATAGCGCTTGATGGTTTTTGCGACTGCACTTGAAGAAACGTTCAAAGTTCTGGAAATGTTTCGTATTGACTGACCTTCATGTCTTAAAGTAATGATGGACTGTCATTTCTCTTTGCTTATTTGAGCTGTTCTTGCCATAATATGGACTTGGTCTTTTACCAAATAGGGCTATCTTCTGTATACCCCCCCTACCTTGTCACAACACAACTGATTGGCTCAAACGCATCAAGAAGGAAAGAAATTCAAGGCACACCTGTTAATTGAAATGCATTCCAGGTGACTACCTCATGAAAATGGTTGAGATAATGCCAAGTGTGCAAAGCTGTCATCAAGGCAAAGGGTGGCTATTTGAAGAATATAAAATATCAAATACATTTTTATTTGTTTAACACTTTTTGGGTTACTACATGATTCCATATGTGTTATTTCATAGTTTTGATGTCTTCACTATTATTACACAATGTAGAAAATAGTAAAAATAAAGAAAAACCTTTGGACCGGTACTGTATGTTTATCTGACACTGATTTAGTCAGTTCTACAATGCCAGTTTTAATGTAAGCAACCCTCCAAGGAGGAAATAAGTATAGCCTGCCGGTCACTGACACAAAAAAGGTTCAGAAAACACTGGCCTAGCAAAAATCCACAACCCACAACCCAAGAATTGCTAATGTCATGCTTGAACCGTGCTGAGTCACACAGGACCAACAAATTACCTTGAAGAAGGGGCTGGAGGCAGCGAGGACCAGGCGGTGGCACGGGAACTCCCTGTCCTGGATCTTCAGGACACAGTCTACAAATTTCTGGTTATCCAGCAGGTCACAGAGGCCGTCTTGAAGCAGGGTTTGCTGGTACATCCTCGGCTGTTCCACCGGGTCTATCGACAAGGCAGCCATCTTGTTTCTTCTGTCAGGTTCTCCTCAGGTCCTCTCTGACATCCTATCAGCTCGTCGTCTGTAAATGATTTTTTTGCGGCAGGGATTTCTAGAACAACGAGGGGATGGTGCCTGCTCGCTCCCAACAACAGGACAGCACAGTACTGCCTGTTTTCACAGTACAGTCCAGAGAGCGAGAGAGAGAGAGAATGAGAGAGAGATGAGGTTGGGCACTGGGGCAGCTAGCTAGTCCACACTGGTAGCAGCTGTCTGTGGCTGTCTATGGCTGTCAGAGTGTATTTATAGATAAGATAGCATATGTAGTCAACACAAACATCACTTTACATACTGTGCTGGAAAGACCCAGTAGTCATGAACTAAGTCACACTCCTTTTCTCCAACACAGACCTTTAATAGTTCACAATGTTTGGATCCCAAAAGGATCTTTGTCAGGTATGTTTTGGAGCAAATTCGTGTGCAGGCCCTGCTTCACTATTTATAGCTGGGGACATCACAAAGCCCAGGAATCTATTTTGATGAGTGTGTAAAATGATCTCCCTACGGTCTCTCCCTCCCTCCCTCTCTCTCTCTCTCTCTCTCTCTCTCTCTCTCTCTCTCTCTCTCTCTCTCTCTCTCTCTCTCTCTCTCTCTCTCTCTCTCTCTCAATTCAATTTCAATTTAAGGGGCTTTATTGGCATGGGAAACGTATGTTAACATTGCAAAAGTAAGTGAAATACATAATAAACAAAAGTGAAATAAACAATTCAAAAATTAACAGAAAACATTACACTCACAAAAGTTCAAAAATAATAAAGACATTTCAAGTGTCATATTATGTCTATATACAGTGTTATAATGATGTGCAAATAGTTAAAGTACAAAAAGGAAAATAAATAAACATAAATATGGGTTGTATTTACAATGGTGTTTGTTCTTCACTAGTTGCCCTTTTCTTGTGGCAACAGGCCACAAATCTTGCTGCTGTGATGGCACACTGTGGTATTTCACCCAGTAGATATGGGAGTTGATCAAAATTGGATTTGTTTTTTTTCGAATTCTTTGTGGATCTGTGTAATCTGAGGGAAATATGTTTATCTAATATGGTCATACATTTGGCAGGAAGGTAGGAAGTGCAGCTCAGTTTCCACCTCATTTTGTGGGCAGTGTGCACATAGCCTGTCTTCTCTTGAGAGCCAGGTCTGCCTTTGGCGGCCTTTCTCAATAGCAAGGCTATGCTCACTGAGTCTGTACAGTCAAATATTTCCTTAATTTTGGGTCAGTCAAAGTGGTCAGGTATTGTGCCACTGTGTACTCTCTGTTTAGGGCCAAATAGCATTCTAGTTTGCTCTGTTTTTTTGTAAATTCTTTCCAATGTGTCAAGTAATTATCTTTTTGTTTTCTCATGATTTGGTTGGGTCTAATTGTGTTGCTATCATGGGGCTCTGTGGGGTCTGTTTGTGTTTGTGAACAGAGCCCCAGGACCAGCTTGCTTAGGGGACTCTTCTCCAGGTTCATCTCTCTGTAGGTGATGGCTTTGTTATGGAAGGTTTGGGAATCGCTTCCTTTTAGGTGGTTGTAGAATTTAACGGCTCTTTTCTGGATATTGATAATTAGCGGGTATCGGCCTAATTCTGCTCTGCATGCATTATTTGGTATTTTATGTTGTACACTGAGGATATTTTTGCAGAATTCTGCATGCAGAGTCTCAATTTGGTGTTTGTCCCATTTTGTGAATTCTTGGTTAGGTGAGCGGACCCCAGACCTCACAACCATAAAGGGCAATGGGTTCTATAACTGATTCAAGTATTTTTAGCCAGAACCTAATTGATCGGTTGTAGGGAAGAAGGGAGGAACGGTGAGGGAGGGGAGGAGGGAGGAGGGAGGGAGTTAGGGCGGAGGGAGGGAGGGAGAGTGTAGGGGGAGGGAGGGAGGAGGGAGGGAGGGATCTCTCTAGCGTCTTCTCTCTCTCTAGTGCTCTATCTCTCTCTCTCTCTCCTCTCTCTCTCTCTCTCTCCTCTCCCTCCTCTCCTCTCCTTCTGACAGCCCCCAACCCCACCCCAACCCCCGCCAACAGCTGACGTGCATCCCAAATGGGAGTGTCATGTGCTCCCCCTTCATTCGCCAGTCAGCCAGGCATGGAAAATCATATCAAATGTTATTTGTCAAGTGCGCCGAATACAACAGGTGTAAACCTTACCACAAAATAAGAGTTAAGAAAACATTTACTAAATAAACTAAAGAAAAAAAAAGTAACAAAATTAAATAACAATAACGAGGCAGGGGGTACCGGTGGGGGTACAGGTTAGTCGAGGTAACTGAGGTAATTTGTACATGTAGGTACGGGTAAAGTGACTATGCATAGATAATAAACAGCGAGTAGCAGCAGTGTAAAAAAAGAGGGTCAATGCAAATAGTCCGGGTGGCCATTTGATTAACTGTTCAGAAGTCTTATGGCTTGGGGGTAGAAGCTGTTAAGAAGCCTTTTGGACCTAGACTTGGCGCACCAGTAACGCTTGCCGTGCGGTAACAGAGAGAACAGTCTATGACTTTGGTGGCTGCAGTATTTGACAATTTTTAGGGCCTTCCTCTGACACCGCCTAATATATAGGTCCTGGATGGCAGGAAGCTTGGCCCCAGTGATGTACTGGGCCATACGCACTACCCCCTGTAGCGCCTTATGGTCAGATGCCGAGCAGTTGCCATACCAGGCGGTGATGCAACCAGACAGGATGCTCTCATTGGTGCAGCTGTGGAACTTTTTGAGGATCTGGGGACCCATGCCAAATCTTTTCAGTCTCCTGACGGGGAAAAGGTGTTGTCGTGCCCTCTTCACAACTGTCTTGGTGTGTTTGGACCATGATAGTTCGTTGGTGAAGCTCTCGACCCGCTCCACTACAGCCCCGTCGACGTGAATGGGAGTGTGCTCGGCCCTCCTTTTCCTGTAGTCCACGAGCAGCTCCTTTGATGGAATGAGACTGGATAGGTCAAAAAAAGCATGGAAGCAAGGAGTCAGTGTCATCCATATTGCTTTTACCTATCCAGTCCTGTCAGATCAGTGTGAATGAGATAGGACATGGACAAGAAGCTTCTAGAAGAGCTTTGAGACACTCTTGAGTATCCCAAGTTGAGTGACAAATGGCTGAGACACTTGCGCAGAAAGAGAAGTGAGCCACTTTGATTTATAAATGTACAGTAGGCTACCTCCCCTCATCAGGTGACGCATGGGATATTAGACAGTGTGGCAATGCCCCCTTGTGGTGACAGTGGGGAAGTTCCTGAAGTATGTTTTCATGTGGGGGGACATCTCTGGAATTCCAAGAGGTCATAGAGCACCTAGAGTCCATTAGAGAGTTCATCATGTCTTTAAAATACACAGGTTTAATACATTGAGGACATGATGACAAAATAACACTTGAGGCCAGAAAGTTGTGTTCCTACCAGTTTATTATTATTATTAAACCCCTACAACTTATCCAGAACGCTGCAGCCCGTCTGGTGTTCAAGCTTCCCAAGTTCTCTCATGTCACCCCGCTCCTCCGCACACTCCACTGGCTTCCAGTTGTGGCTCGCATCTACTACAAGACCATGGTGCTTGCCTACGGAGCTGTGAGGGGAACGGCACCTCCTTACCTTCAGGCTCTGATCAGACCCTACACCCAAACGAGGGCACTACATTCATCCACCTCTGGCCTGCTAGCCCCCCTACCTCTACAGAAGCACAGATCCCGCTCAGCCCAGTCAAAGCTATTCGCTGCTCTGGCACCCCAATGGTGGAACAAGCTCCCTCACTACGCCAGGACAGCGGAGTCACTGACCACCTTCCGGAGACACTTGAAACCCTACCTCTTTAAGGAATACCTGGAATAGTATAACAGTAATCCTTCTACCCCCATGGTCTTGTAGCAGATGCGAGCTTCAACTGGAAGCCAGTGGAGTGTGCGGAGGAGCGGTGACATGAGAGAACTTGGGAAGGTTGAACACCAGACGGGCTGCAGCATTCTGGATGAGTTGTAGGGGTTTAATGGCACAGGCAGGGAGCCCAGCCAACAACGAGTTGCAGTAATCCAGACGGGAGATGACAAGTGCCTGGATTAGGACCTGTGCCGCTTCCTGTGTAAGGCAGGGTCGTACTCTCCGAATGTTGTAGAGCATGAACCTACAGGATCGGGTCACCGCCTTGATGTTAGCGGAGAACGACAGGGTGTTGTCCAGGGTCACGCCAAGGCTCTTCGCACTCTGGGAGGAGGACACAACGGAGTTGTCAACCGTGATGGCGAGATCATGGAATGTAAATGTCTCCAAATCTTATCAAATCACAACCGGAACATAAATATTAGCACTGAACTGAATTCAGTGACTGAATTCAATTTAAATTAAATTGAATTCAACTGAAATACATTTAAATTCAATTGAATTCAACTGAATTCAATTTAAGTTAAACTGAATTCAATTTAAATGATAAGAAATGAACACATAGTGAGTCGTCAGTCTAAAAACAGCACTAAGCTGGGACGTTATCTACTGTCTCCTAAACAAACCTATGTCAAATACAAATACTTTAGGCCGCTTTAATCAATGGAACTTTTTGTGCATTTCTAGGACTACGTATACCATTGGATCGACAGTGGCAGCTAAATCAAGTGCACCTCTAGTCAGGTTTGTCTCCTAGACGGAGGACATTTTACTGAACAGGTTTCAGTGACAGGACAGAGAGGCCCATATTGCCTGGTGGTGGAGCTATTTCCATTCATAGTGTGGTGACTGACGTCAGAGGAGGGCCTCAGCCCCTCTCAGATTGGCATGTTGTCAGCCAGACCTGGATTCAAATTGTATTTCAAATATTTCAAATACTTCAACTGTATTTGATTGAGCTAGTCTGTTGCAATGCAACCAATCGAATATTCCCAAACGTGTTAAAATCCGCCCATCTGGTAACCCAGGCAAGCTTAAGGAAACGCTCAAAGTATTTAAAAGATTTCTAATGCTATTTAAACCCAGGTCTTCATCCAGCAGCAGGCTGTGTCATCTGAGAGGGGAGGAGGGAGATGCAGAAATGTCACACTTAATCTCGCCTGTAAAATAATGGCAGAGTGGGGTTGAGCAGTCACGGATACTGTATGGAGTTGAGCAGTCACGGATACTGTATGGAGTTGAGCAGTCACGGATACTGTATGGAGTTGAGCAGTCATGGATACTGTATGGAGTTGAGCAGTCATGGATACTGTATGGAGTTGAGCAGTCATGGATACTGTATGGAGTTGAGCAGTCATGGATACTGTATGGAGTTGAGCAGTCATGGATACTGTATGGAGTTGAGCAGTCACTGGATACTGTATGGAGTTTGAGCAGTTATGGATACTGTATGGAGTTGAGCAGTCATGGATACTGTATGGAGTTGAGCAGTCATGGATACTGTATGGAGTTGAGCAGTCATGGATACTGTATGGAGTTGAGCAGGTCCTGGATACTGTATGGAGTTGAGCAGTTATGGATACTGTATGGAGTTGAGCAGTCATGGATACTGTATGGAGTTGAGCAGTCACGGATACTGTATGGAGATGAGCAGTCATGGATACTGTATGGAGTTGAGCAGTTATGGATACTGTATGGAGTTGAGCAGTCATGGATACTGTATGGAGATGAGCAGTTATGGATACTGTATGGAGTTGAGCAGTCATGGATACTGTATGGAGTTGAGCAGTCATGGATACTGTATGGAGTTGAGCAGTCACGGATACTGTATGGAGTTGAGCAGTCATGGATACTGTATGCCAGAGTTCCCCAACTTGGTGGTTTTATTCGGCCCCCCAATGCATTCATTTTTATTTTTTTAATTTTTTTATTGTTGGACATGAAAGACTATAAAAACACCATGAAATCAGCTCCAAGTGATTTTTATTTTGGAAGTCTGTTCCCAAGTATTCCCACGCATAACAGAGAGACATGTCATCGTATACAAATGTAATCAAGGTTTGAAATTATTATCTTTTAGTCAAATATTATATATGTTTGAACTTCTTGCGGTCAATTTGATCTAGAAATTATTTGTAATTTTGTTTCCGGTACCCCAACCATCCGCTCCAGAAAAAAATTGTCCCGTCGCTGAATATAGTTGGTGATCCCTGCTGTATGGAGATGAGCAGTCATGGATAATGTATGGAGATGAGCAGTTATGGATACTGTATGGAGGTTGAGCAGAGTTATGGATACTGTATAGTCCAGTGGTAGACTCAGTTGGTAGAGCATGGCGCTTGCAACGCCCCCCCACAGGGTTGTGGGTTCGAATTCCCACGGGGCGTGCCCGTATATGAAGAAAAAATAACTGTATGCACTCACTAACTGTAAGTCGCTCTGGATAAGAGCGTCTGCTAAATGACTAAAATGTAAATGTATGGAGGGATGTACTGCAGTGCTATAAGGTTGGGGTTGGGGTTCATTCCATATGAAAAAAATATACACAAAGATCTATTCATAAGAATGTAATCCATTCTATAAATTATTTAATCCATTTTGAACCACATTTTTCTGTTCAATAATATTGTAACCCTTTGATCCTCGTTAGACATGGGGCACCAACCAATTCAATAGCCGGAAGAGCTAAAGTAGGCCTCTTCTGTAACGTGGGCCTACTTAGTTACTCAGCAGGGACTACCACTGGATGTCTTACTTTAAGGTTTGTTACCGTTATTGTTAGGCTACTTCAAGTTAAAAAAAAGAAATTACCAAAAGAAATACCCAAGATGTAAGATGAGAAATGTTGATGTAATTTCGGACTCAAGTAGAAATAAACGTTCTGGAAAAAAAGGCTATGTAATGTTAACACAAACGTGACAGAGTTATGAGGTTTCAGCTTTGTATTACTGCAATACCTTTGGTACATTAAAAACACACATTAAAAGACACTTGAACAGAATGTAGAGACATTTAGCTCAGAGGTGTTTGATAAGACCTTGCAATGCCAATGTTGTGGGTTTGATTCCCACGGGGGACCAGTGCTAAAATGTGTCCGATCACTACTGTAAGTTGTTCTGAATAAGAGCGTCTGCTGGATGATGTAAAAGTAATTCTGCATCTTCAATATATTAGCTGTGTCTGCATAAAATATTTGGCATGCCCATATTTTGTTTAATATGAATATACAAAATGCACTCTCGGTGTATGTACCAAAAAGGACGGGGTACTTGGCAAATGGTGATTATCTACAGCAAGTGCACTTCAGGACTTTTCACATAAAAACAATGCTTTGTTTTTCAAAAAACAACACACAGAGTGGTAGAGTAGTAGTTGTCATGGTGACAACTTGGTGGTAGCAGTAGAAGAGTTGCCGCGATGATGATTCCCTGTGACTTGTGACAGTCTGGTTTGGTTCAGTACAGTAGAGATACTCAAGGGTGTAAAAATATGGGGGGGGGGGGGGGGGGGGGGGGGGGGCGTTGTTGACTGTTGACGTGAAAACCAGGTCCTCAAAAAACAAAATGAAGTTTTTCCTCGTTTGTGCGTTTACTCAACTTTATTTTTTGCCGACCTCCTCAGGCTTGGGGGGCATGTCTTTAGGTGTAGGGGGCACAGCCGCTGGCTCGGGGTCTTCCAAAAGGGCTTGCTTCCTCTCCCTCTCCTTCACCAGCTGAACACCACAGTAGGTCACAAACAGTACAGACAGGGTGGACAGAGGGAAACCTGGAAGATAGAGACAATAAGTGAGAAATATACCAGAGAAAGACATGGTGATGTGAAATATAAGATGGAGAAAATATACTTTTGAACGACTGCAGTTTTCAATGTAATCAGTTTCCACGGAAGGAGTACATCTTTATCAGACTAGTCAAGAACAGTTTCCACGGAAGGAGTACATCTTTATCAGACTAGTCAAGAACAGTTTCCACGGAAGGAGTACATCTTTATCAGACTGGTCAAGAACAGTTTCCACGGAAGGAGTACATCTTTATCAGACTAGTCAAGAACAGTTTCCACGGAAGGAGTACGTCTTTTGTCAAACACCTCAGACAAACAAGAAGTTATTCTCTGCGGTAACTACATACAATATTTACTTTTGACCTGTAATGTAAATATATTGTTCTTTGTGTTGTCCACAACAGTACTGCTCAATCTTACCTTGAACGATCAGTCTTTTTCCCACCAGCTTGGCGAACTCCAGACTGTTGAGAGCCAGGATGTTGTAGAGGATGATGGTCCAGAAGTTTAGGGCGCCGAAGATGGCTCTGATCCTACGAGACATGGCCTCACCTATGGCATACTGTGGACAGAGGGGACAGAAGGACAAGGCCATGGCTATCGCTGAAGGCCCAATCGGTCTCCAGCCCCTACTTCCTATAGACACTCCTGCAGATCTGATAGCGAAGCAATATTGAAATATTGGGAGCAATATGGCAACATTGGCAGCACACCTGATTCAGCTAATCATGAGTCTAAGGAACAGCTGATTCATAGAGGTATATAGCTGGGGTACAGTATCCCCAGAGGGTACAGTATCCCCACAGGGTACAGTAGCCCCCCAGAGGGTACAGTAGCCCCCCAGAGGGTACAGTATCCCCCCAGAGGGTACAGTATCCCCCCAGAGGGTACAGTATCCCACCAGAGGGTCCAGTAACCCCCCAGAGGGTACAGTAACCCCCCCAGAGGGTACAGTATCCCCCCAGAGGGTACAGTATCCCCCAGAGGGTACAGTAGCCCCCAGAGGGTACAGTATCCCCCAGGCCAGTAACCCAAGGGTACAGTATCCCCCCAGAGGGTACAGTATAATCTACCCCCCAGAGGGTACAGTACCCCCCAGAGGGTACAGTATCCCCCAGAGGTACGTATCCCAGAGGTACAGTACCCCCCAGAGGAGTCCCCAGTCATATCCCCCAGAGGTCAGACCCCCAGAGGGTACCAGTAATCCCCCCAGAGGGTACAGTATCCCCCAGAGGGTACAGTATCCCCCCAGAGGGTCAGTAGCCCCCAGAGGGTACAGTATCCCCCAGAGGGTACAGTATCCCCCCAGAGGGTCAGTATCCCCCCAGAGGGTACAGTATCCCCCCAGAGGGTACAGTAGCCCCCCAGAGGGTACAGTACCCCCCAGAGGGTACAGTATCCCCCCAGAGGGTCCAGTATCCCCCCAGAGGGTACAGTAGCCCCCCAGAGGGTACAGTATCCCCCCCAGAGGGTCCAGTATCCCCCCAGAGGGTACAGTATCCCCAGAGGGTACAGTATCCCCCCAGAGGGTACAGTAGCCCCCCAGAGGGTACAGTACCCCCCAGAGGGTACAGTACCCCCAGAGGTACATATCCCCCCAGAGGGTACAGTATCCCCCAGAGGGTACAGTACCCCCCAGAGGGTACAGTATCCCCCCAGGGGTACAGTATCCCCCAGAGGGTACAGTATCCCCCCAGAGGGTACAGTACCCCCCACAGAGGTACAGTATCCCCCACAGGGTACAGTAACCCCCCAGAGGGTACAGTATCCCCCCAGAGGGTACAGTATCCCCCCACAGGGTACAGTAACCCCCCAGAGGGTACAGTATCCCCCCAGAGGGTACAGTATCCCCCCAGAGGGTACAGTATCCCCCAGAGGGTACAGTATCCCCCCAGAGGGTACAGTATCCCCCCAGAGGGTACAGTATCCCCCCAGAGGGTACAGTATCCCCCCAGAGGGGTACAATATCCCCCCAGAGGGGTACAGTATCCCCCCAGAGGGTACAGTATCCCCCCAGAGGGTACAGTATCCCCCCCAGAGGGTACAGTATCCCCCCAGAGGGTACAGTATCCCCCCACAGGGGTACAGTAGCCCCCCAGAGGGTACAGTAGCCCCCCAGGATGAGGGTTGGTCTACCATACAGTAGCTCCTTCCCATATAGCATCCATTCATTTTCAATAGCAATTTGCCAGGAATTTTTTTAACCCTTATTTTACCAGCTAAGTTGACTGAGAACACATTCTCATTTACAGGAACGACCTGGGGAATAGTTACGTAGGATGAATGAGCCAATTGGAAGCTGGGGATGATTAGGTGGCCAGATTGGGAATTTAGCCAGGACACCGGGGTTAACACCCCTACTCTTACGATAAGCCCCATGGGATCTTTAGTGACCACAGAGAGTCAGGACACCCGTTTAACGTCCCATCTGAAAGACAGCACCCTACACAGGGCAATGTCCCCAATCACTGCCCTGGGGCATTGGGAAGAAAATGCCTCCTACTGGCCCTCCAACACCACTTCCAGCAGCATCTGGTCTCCCCATCCAGGACTAACCCTGCTTAGCTTCAGAGGCAAGCCAGCAGTGGGATGCAGGGTGGTATGCTGCTGGTATTAACTTACCTCGATGTTGGAGAAGGGAGGTATGGAAAAGAACTTGTCTACCCAGAGCTCCAGGTTGAGACCAAAGCAGTTGAAGAACGACCAGATGTAGACCAGCTCACATGGACCCAGCCACAAAGTGGTCACAACAAACGTACAGATGGTCGCCACCAGCTCCTTGAAGACATTTGTGTGGCTTCCTCCAATGTAGTCGTAAACATACCTGTTAGAGGAGATCAAGATTCGAGACACAGTTTGTTAGCACTGAAGAGTTCATAGCTTTGTCTTTGGTCATCAAAGGATGTTCCCCAATGATGGAAGTGGAAAAAGTGAGTGAACCATTAATATAGAGGAGTATATCATCTTCTGGGCATTAAGATGGTTTTGAAATGTTCTTCACCATCTATCGACTGTGGGACACTCACTTGCACAGCCAGTCGTTGATGCCTCTGTCAAAGTGCCTGCAAATCGAAGAGAGGATATTAGTTTGAGCATGTAGTCTATATTCATTGACCTAAAAGTCAATACTCATTGTGATGTCCACATCCAGTAGTATACTGAATACAGTATCCTGAAACAGACCACAGCTTCCAACCATCACTTACCAAAGTCGCTAGACAAGTGTTCATATGTGAAGGGTTCTGAGACGTACATTTACGAGCCGCTCTTATCCAAAGCGACTTACAGGAGCAATTAGGGTTAAAGTTCCTTGCTCAAGGGCGCATCAACAGATTTTTTTTTCACCTAGTTGGCTTCGGGGATTCGAACCAGCAATCATTCGGTTACTGGCGCAATGCTCTTAACCAGGTTGGACACTTACGTCTCAGCGAACACGTAGAGCATGGTGATACACTTGGGAGGCTGAGGAGGGTCCAGATGATCCAGTCTAGCCACAGTGTTGATCACCCCGAACATCACCGCTGCCTTCACCCAGTCATACACCAGGTTAGAGTAGGCCAGACCAGCTACAGACGAGAAACAACAAGTTATGTTCCTAGCACCACGTGTCGTTGATAAGATGTATACACTATATAGAGAGAAGATAATACTGTAGCATAATATCATATTTGTATTAACCACAACCACAGACATTTCTGCTGCAGAGAAATCATGCTAAACTTGATATCTCTGTTAGGTAGTGATATAGGCCTATAAGATGAGGTTGTATTTTTAGTTTTACTGGTCAGGTTTCCTGGTCAGGTGAGGAAATAAATAATGGACAGGTCAGGATTCAATCCAGTGGATTTATGCCGGGCATACACTACACTATTTCGCCATGTTTTTTTTGCCGTCCTAGACACATTTTCATGATCGGGGTGAAATCCTATGAACTTGGACTAGGGTCAGTACGTCAGGACTGGCGTAATTTTAGCAGGTCAAGGACGCACCGATGATGACTGTTCCGTTCTCCAGACCCTTGTCGGATGACCCTATAATTTTCGGACATGTCTGAAATTTTTGTTGTGCATCTTGTAGTATGAGCAGTGCTACGACGCAATTGGGCAAGGACTACTGCCAATAGTCAATGAGCACTCAGCATGTGAGACCAAAACAAAGATGGTGAAGAGGAAAGCAACAACAGCATGCACCGTACGGACCGAGGTGACAGAAGACAGATAGGTGGAGAGAACGCAGCTGCCTTTTCAATATTAAAGGTTTTATATTAACTCCAATTCCCTCTGTAGAATAGAAAGTCCATATTGTCCACGTCTGACCAACATTTGGTCTGGTCCATATTCTCCGCCTCTTGTCTCTTTTTTTATGTTTCTGAACATATTAATTGTGCACACTAATAAAGCAGCGTTGCGGCATTTCTTTCCTACGACAACCAAGAAATGCAGGGCATGATTAACTAGGGAATCATAATGTAATGTGAGCACCCACGTCCTGGGGTTGAGGATGGATGGAATGAAAGATTTGGGACAACGGAAATCGGGAAATGTGAGCACGTTCTTGTTACTATTTAGAAGTCGTGTAGCGTATGCCCAGCATTAGGCAGACAATACGCCATTAAAAGGTCATTTCCGATTGAGAAAACATATGCAGTGTTTACCGCGAATGCGGTCTCTGCGAACACGGGAACATTGCCTTTAAAAGGTGCATTGCCGACAAAGTGTGATGGGATTGAATCCCGTCCTTGGTGCATTTCGATCCTTGATACGAAGGTCTACCACCTTTTTCATGATTATGTGTCCCGACCAGGAAAAACTCCTGGCCCCACTGATAAAGGTTAAACCTTAAAGTTAGCCGAACTGACCCAGGGACCAGTCGGACAGCTGCTTGACCAGCTTCATGTCGTTGGGGATGGTCAGGATGTACAGGTAGTGGAAGAACACGTCCACCATCAAAATGGCTCCCAGGTGCAACAAAGCCCTGGTGGTAATGTTCCACATCTCTCTCTGCTTACGGGTCAGGTTAGGGTTGTTGGCCTAGGGGGGGATTAAAAGTTCAAAGTTTAAAGATCATGGTATGGTAAAAAAAAGAACTGACAAATACATTAGTTCTATAAAACACAGAATATATAGAAAACAAACTAAAGTGACAGCAAATTGACAGACTAAATACTCTAGAGAAATCTTACAATGTCAATTGAATTATGACTGCCAGCTTCACCTGCTCAAGGATATAACTCACCTGAACGTGGTACTGATGGAAGGTCTGGATGGGTCCAAAGTAGAAGAATGACTCACCTGGACGTGGTACTGATCGAAAGTCTGGATGGGTCCAAAGTAGAAGAATGGAAGGTAGAAGTTGTACTTGAGCAGGTCAGCGAAGCTGTAGTTGCCGTCCTTCTTCTCACAGTTCTCCAGAGCAAAGCTCATACAGCGCATGATGGTGAAACAGGATCCTCCGTAGAACAGAATGTCTTGCAGGTCGAAGTAGCCCGTCACAAAACCTTCCTGGAGGAGATGTGAACATGATGTCAGTCATTACTGAGGGGGTTTTGTCAAACAACTGACATCTTCCTAATATGGATGCCATACTTTAGAGTTTTGTCAAACAACTGACATCTTCCTAATATGGATGCCATACTTTAGAGTTTTGCTTCTTCAAGACTTCAAACGTCTAGTCAAAAGTAAATACACCAATGACTGTTAAAAAAAATCAATTCCGAAAGCTAAGCTACATAACTTTAGAATTTTGTTAATAATACTAATGACGTTTGGTGCATATTTACTTTGAAATGTGTGTCTAATCGCAGTCACAAAGATAGCACCTCCAGGACCGACATTTATTCCCTCAGCTTCGGAAGAAAGTGCATCTACACTAGCTATGTACCATGATAGTGCTGGACTGTTAAAGTCATCTACACTAGCTATGTACCATATAGTGCTGGACTGTTAAGTGCATCTACACTCGCTATGTATCCAGGATAGTGCTTGTGACTGTTAAGTGCATCTGGACCCTAAGCTATGTACCATGAATAGTGTCTGGACTGTTAAAGTGCAATGACACTAGCTATGTAACCATATAGTGCTGGACCTTTAAGTGCATCTACAACTATCATAGTTACCATGATAGTGCTGGACCTGTTAAATGATCTACCTAGCTATGTACCATGATGTGCTGGACTGTTAGTGCATCACACTAGCGATGTACCATGATAGTGCTGGACTGTTAAAGTGCATCTACACTAGCTATGTACCATGATAGTGCTGGACTGTTAAAGTGCATCTACACTAGCTATGTACCATGATAGTGCTGGACTGTTAAAGTGCATCTACACTAGCTATGTACCATGATAGTGCTGGACTGTTAAAGGTAAGTTCTGAATACACAGGACATGGTGTTATAAATCCATTGTGCCAATAGTTGATTGTGAGCACAAACCTGACACTTGCTTTCATGTTGTTGAGACAGGGGCACGGATAGGGCAGATATTTCAAGTGGTTCAATCAATCAGAGAGATCTAAGTTCAGCCAACCCACCTGCCAGGTGTTAAACGGTTCCATCTTGAAGGTGGCCAGGCTGGCGAGACCGGCGACGAAGACAATCCACTTCCTCTTGACCAGGGCCACGCTGTAGAGGATGAAGCAGTGTGATAGGACGAGAGCCAGGAAGCCCCCGCCCATACTGACCAGCACCGTCAGTCCACCGTACAACCCATAGACCAACGACCTGTGCTGTGGAGCAGGAAGAACCAACGATATTACAAGGTTGTAACAAGGTTATTTTAATGTTGTTGTTTTTTATATATATATATATATTTTTTTTACAACGTTACAATAATATTGCAAGGCTGTTAAAAAGGTTACCACAAGGTTATTACAATGTAGGGGCGGCAGGTAGCTTAGTGGGTAAGAGCGTTGTGCCAGTAACCGAAAGGTCGCTGGTTCTAATCCCCGAGCCGACTAGGTGAAAAATCTGTCGATGTGCCCTTGAGCAAGGCACTTAACCCTAATTGCTCCTGTAAGTCGCTCTGGATAAGAGCGTCTGCTAAATGACCAAAAATAAAAATAAATAAAATAATGTTATTACAATGTTGTAATATTGTTGTGACGATGTTGTAAAATGTGTATGATATGTTATTACAACTATATAGCAATGTTATTAGAACTTAATTACAAGGTTAATACAATGTTAGCGGAAATGTCAATGGTTGTAGCGATAAAACTATGACTATACTCTAGTCTATGTGACATATACACTGTGTGAATCAAATCAATAACGCACAGACATTAGTAGCCAAACAGATACACTAGTAACCGATAACAGACATTAGTAGCCAAACAGATACACTAGTAACCGATAACAGACATTAGTAGCCAAACAGATACACTAGTAACCGAACATCAGTGATGACTACGTCATAGATGGTTGATTACACTAAAGTGGTGACGGTTGGGATGAAATGAATTACTTATTTTTTTTATATATATAAAGAGTTCATTATTGTGTTTAATAATGTTACCTTGCAATACCAATCATCCACACCAATCTTCATCGCAAGCGCAAAACAAAACAAAACAAAAGCATGTTTAAAACATACATGAACACACGTTTGTCAGGTGCTTACCCATTTGATTATTGGGAGCATATGTTTGAGACTATCTTTGATTTGACATAAATGTGCTACTCCGTTAGTCAGCCAACTCGTGCTTTGTACTAGGCAGGATTATACAAAAAATAACACAATACACTCCAAATTACATTGCTATGCAATTAACATGCAGTTACTGTGTAACAACATGTTAATACAATTTAGTTTCTGGTGTAATTACAGTGTTACTACACAGGTATGACAGCAATTAGGGGCGGCAGGTAGCCTGGCGGGTAGGAGCGCTGGGCCAGTAACCGAAAGGTTTCTGGATCGAATCCTCGATCCGACAAGGTAAAAATCTGTCGTTCTGCCTCTGAGCAAGGCAGTTAACCCCCAACAACTGGCGCCGATGACGATTAAGGCAGCCCCCCCCCCCTGCACCTCTCTGATTCAGAGGGGTTGGGTTAAGTACAGAAGACACATTTCAGTTGAATGCATTCAGTTCTATAACTGACTAGATATCCCCTTTCCCTTAATGTAAATTGTGTTACCCATACCTAAAAAGCTACATTTTCGCTTTATCCCAAATGGTACCCTAGTTCCTCTATAGTGCACTACTATATTGACCAGAGCCCCCTATAGGGTGCCTTTTGAGGCTTACATTTTGAGTGTGGGAAGTCATCGTAACTGTGAATACTCACCCGGGGAGATATCAGGGAGCAGACTTTGGCAAAGATCACATGACCGGCGAGGGCGAATAGGATGTGATTGCGGAATGTTGTGAACCACATCACCCATTCAAAATCAGCAACGTCCTATAACACATGAAAACAAATAGTTGAAAAACAAATATATATATAAATTCACACTCATCCATTTTTATCAATTCAATCAATTAAAAAAAGTGTGTAAAATGTGTTAGTGATGCAACATTGTCTCACGAGTAACAGAGAGACAAATATATTCCATTAGTTAGAACAGACTAGATTAAACCTAATCCTGGACTAAAAAAAACATGCTCAATTGAGAATCTCACTTTTCAGTCCAGGACAAGGTTTAATATGTATCCGAGTTTCAGTGTATGGGAGGGCTTGTACATTACATACTGGGAATGAACCACTGACCATTTTCCTGCCAAAGTAGTGCCAACCTGGTTTCACGCTCTTCTTGAACACCTTCCTGTTCACATTGTCTGAAAATCAAATAGGAAAGGGAATACCTGTTCACTGACGACTGACGGACAAACCATTTAAAAACAATGAACTGAGAGTTTTGTTGGATTCCATCAGAGACAAGGGAACCCAGACAGGCTCTTTAGGAGTGGGTTACGTGGACTAGCTTGAACTGAGATCTCCAGAAACATGTCTATAGTGTGATTGATCTGTTGTTAATGTGTTTCTCCATTTTAGATGGTTTACATCATATCCTAGCCTGACGACTCAAACTGGGCCGGAGTAAGGAGTCTGGGTAGCCAGGCAAAACGTATCCATCTTCTGTCTGATACGATCCTTTTTTTTAACCTTTAAACTTGTGTTATTGCAAAAAAAATACAATAAAAAAAAAAATGAACAGTTACATGTCGATATTTCCAGTAAGTGTGTTATTTTGGCAAGAGCAGTAGGATATTGAGCAAAACCCCAACAGCATTGCATAACCTACTTAGTTATCACAAAGCCCTTCATATTTTCCACAATAATAATCATATTCTAAAAGCCGTCCTCTATTTTGGGAGATTACGCTCCAGTGTGCAGCGTGGCCCTCAATGATTAAACTGAAATATTCCATGGAACAGGAGACAAGGAAAACAACAGCGCTCTCTGGGGCGGAGACAGCAATACTCTGACAGGAAGCCATAGCGCTGCGCTTCTCCGGTCCAAGGCACAAACAGACACAGCCTTGCTGTCGGGTCCACCGGTCCATCTGAAGGCTGAAGGGCCATATGGTAGATAGATATCAGAGGAGGTCAGGAAGACGTAATGATAGCGCTCTCTAAAGTTCAACTGTACATATTGTGACAATGAGCACTAGTCCAGCAGTTCACACGTTCCTACCACAGCCTACAGTAAGTACAACCTTACTGCATGTGCTCTTGATAAACCTGATGGTTGGTCTCATTAGGGTATCAGATGTATTTAGACGGTCGGTTCAGTTAAGGGAAGCTGTTAAGCCCTGGGGAAATAGGCTGATGGCCAGAGCAGTAGCTAGAACCTGTACTCTAATGTACTGTACTCTAATGTACTGTACCCTACTCTACTCGAATGTACTGTACTCTTATGTACTGTACCCTACTCTAATGTACTGTACTCTAATGTACTGTACCCTACTCTACTCGAATGTACTGTACTCTTATGTACTGTACCCTACTCTACTCTAATGTACTGTACTCTAATGTACTGTACCCTACTCTACTCTAATGTACTGTACTCTAATGTACTGTACCCTACTCTACTCTAATGTACTGTACTCTAATGTACTGTAACCTACTCTACTCTAATGTACTGTACTCTAATGCACTGTAACCTACTCTACTCTAATGTACTGTACTCTAATGCACTGTAACCTACTCTACTCTAATGTACTGTACTCTAATGTACTGTACCCTACTCTACTCTAATGTACTGTACTCTAATGTACTGTACCCTACTCTACTCTAATGTACAGTACTCTAATGTACTGTACCCTACTCTACTCTAATGTACTGTACTCTAATGTACTGTAACCTACTCTACTCTAATGTACTGTACTCTAATGCACTGTAACCTACTCTACTCTAATGTACTGTACTCTAATGCACTGTAACCTACTCTACTCTAATGTACTGTACTCTAATGTACTGTACCCTACTCTAATGTACTGTACTCTAATGTACTGTAACCTACTCTACTCTAATGTACTGTACTCTAATGTACTGTAACCCACTCTACTCTAATGTACTGTACTCTAATGTACTGTAACCTACTCTACTCTAATGTACTGTACTCTAATGTACTGTAACCTACTCTACTCTAATGTACTGTACTCTAATGTACTGTAACCTACTCTACTCTAATGTACTGTACTCTACTGTACTGTACCCTACTCTACTCTAATGTGCTGTACTCTAATGTACTGTACCCTACTCTACTCTAATGTACTGTACTCTAATGTAATGTACCCTACTCTACTCTAATGTACTGTACTCTAATGTACTGTAACCTACTCTCCTCTAATGTACTGTACTCTAATGTACTGTACCCTACTCTACTGTACTGTACCCTACTCTACTCTAATATAATGTACTGTACTCTACTCTACTGTACTATACCCTACTCTACTCTAATGTACTGTACTCTAATGTACTGTACTCTAATCTACTGTACTGTAATCTAATGTACTGTACCCTACTCTACTCTAATGTACTGTACTCTACTCTACTGTAATCTAATGTACTGTACCCTACTCTACTCTAATGTACTGTACTGTACTCTACTCTACTGTACTCTAATGTACTGTACTCTAATGTACTGTACTCTACTCTACTGTACTGTACTGTAATGCATAATGCAGATTTGAGTGCAGGACATGTACTCTATATTATCCTCAGTGAAACCACGACTGACAGTGAGAGGAAAGCAAGTAAACATTATCCCCATAATTCCCAACGTCTTTATTGCCCCACCGCTGGGTAGTGGTTGTTGCAGCAGCGTACATTAGTCGTCTTTATCTCTAACCCAGTCGTTGTTTTTACAAGCATGTGCCGTGACCTAAAGAAATCCCTCTACTACAAGGTAGGTTGAGCAGAACACTAGGGGACAACGCTACACTGTTTCAGTTTCATACAATCGGACTGCAGTGCACACAGGCTGCAGCACGTGTAATTCCCTCCCTGTTCATGCACCCATCCACAGAGGTTACATAATCTGCCGGTCACTTCATTCAAATCAATACATAAAAAGATAATAGCTTTAGTAAGCAGACTGACAAGGAAAACACTGGCTGGTAACACTTTTTTATAATGACTTTCATCAAAAAGCCGTTACACATGCGTATAAATGCTGTATACGTGTTTACAAGTTATACAAAATATAATACGTCGGCAGACTATAGTATTTCTAGTTGCGTTTGACTCCTTGACACGTTCTGTCATTAGACACAAGAATATCCTCCTTGTGGTCCTCTGTAGCTCAAGCCTTGGTAGAGCACGGCGGTTGTAACGCCAGGGTAGTGGATTCGATCCCCGGGACCACCCCATACGTAAAAATGTATGCGCACATGACTAAGTCGCTTTGGATAAAAGCGTCTGCTAAATGGCATATTATTATTATCTAAGGAGTTCAGAAGTAGGACATTAGCTGCTAATTAGGCCACTTATAATAACCTGACACTCATAATAGACAGATGAATAATAAGAATCCATTATGGCCTCTTAATTTTAATCAGATACTGTAGACGCAAACACTTCAAGCAACATGATGTGAAAGGTTTGAATACCATTGCTTGACTGAGGATAATGTACAGGGAGAAAATCTATATACGAGAGACAAAACGCTGAGCCATGTTCTGCAGAGTCAGTTTTCAATCAGCATGTAGGCAGGTTAATTTGAAACTAGGGAACGAACGCAGGTTGGTTATGAACGTAGAGTCTATAGGACATGGTGTGGATAGCTATGAGATAAATATTTTACAAAGGGAGACCTGTCCCAAGAAAACTGCAATTCAGACATTAGTTACATCAGATCAACAATACAGTTACACCATGGGCCCGTCCCAAATTGCATATTATTCCATAATTAGTGCCTTTATTTTGGCCGGAGCCCCAGTGCACTAAATAGTGAATAAGGTGTAATTTGGGACATATCCCCATAACAACTCATGGTCCACTACTCACCAGAGGAAGCATCCCAGATCCAGGTGCCGGCCCACAGCAGAGACAGGTAGAGAACCGCTGTATAGAGGTAGAGCTCCAGCTTAGGAAGGGCTGCCTTGAGCCCCATGGTGAATTCTCTAGCACCAAACACACACAGGGGACCTGAGGGGAGGGAATGGAAGATTTAGGAGGACGCTTAAAACTGTATAGGCATTATAAGAGATATAGAATAATATATAGAGAGAGAGAGAGAGAGAGAGAGAGAGAGAGAGGAGAGAGAGGGAGAGAGGAGAGAGAGAGAGCGAAGAGGGATTCTCGGGATCTCTCTCTCTCTCTGCCTCTCTCCTCCTCTGTCCTCTCTCTCTCCTCTCTCTTCTCTCTCTCTCTCCTCTCTCCTCGCTTCGAGAGAGAGAGAGATGGTTGAGAGAGAGAGAGAGAGAGAATGTAATTATAATACTGACCTGCTTTGGAGAATAATTTACCTCAAGGAGATGTTGACTATTCTCGGTAATACCAGTCGGTAGTGGTTCGAAACACAAAAACACCCCATAGTAAATCTTGTTCATGAACATAATGTGTTTTGCAAGCTTCTATCTCAGTCACTGTCACAGAAATGCACGCGTTGCATAATATCTGTTTGACCATTTCAACCATCCTGTGTGAAAGCCACAAAGTACTCAGTTCAAATGTTGAAAATAGGAGACTGATCTTTTTAATTTTTATGTGAACAAGCAAAGAAATGAATGTATTCCATTACTTCAGCATAAAGATGTTTAGGTGCAATAAAAACCGAAAAAAACAACCATTGACAACTGTAGGACTAAGCCTTGTATTACATTGTGGTTCTGCTGTCAGTGCCTTCACAAAGCATCACACCCCTTGACTTATTCCTCATTTGCATTATTATCTTTCAGAATTCTTCAAGCTCTAAATGGTTGTTGATCGTTGCTAGACAACCGTTTTCAGGTCTTGACATATCTTTTCACGTAGCTTTAAGTCAGAAATGTAACTCGGCCACTCAGGAACATTCACTGTCTTCTTGGTAAGCAACTCCAGTGTATATTTGGCCTTGTGTTTTAGGTAATTGTCCTGCTGAAAGGTGAATTCATCTCCCAGTCTCTAGTGTAAAGCAGAGTGAGACACGTTTTCCTCTAGGATTTTGCCTGTACTTAGCTCCATTCCGTTTATTTTTTTCCCTGAAAATCTCCCCAGTCTTTAATGATTACAAGCATACCCATAACATGATGCAGCCACCAGTATGCTTGAAAATATGAAGAGTGGTACACAATAATGTGCTGTATTCGATTTGTCCCAAACCTAACACTTTGTATTCAGGACAAAAGGTTAATTGCTTTGCCACATTTTTTGAAGTATTACTTTAGTTCCTTCTTTTCACTCTGTCATTTAGGTTAGCATTGCAGAGTAACTAAAATGCTGTTGATCCACACTCAGTTCTCTCCTATCACAGCCATTAAACTCTGTTTTAAAGTCACCATTGGCCTCATGGTGAAATCCTTGAGCGGTTTCCTTCCTCACCGGCAACTGAGTTAGGAAGGATGCCTGTATCTTTGTAGTGAATGGGTGTATTGATACACCATCCAAAGTGTAATTAATCATTTCACCATGCTCAAAGGGATAGTCAATGTCTGTTTTTTGTGTGTGTGTGTGTGTGTTTTTTTTAAATCTACCAATAGCTGCCCTTCTTTGAGAGGCATTGGAAAACCTCCCTGCTCTTTGTGGTTGAATCAGTGTTTGAAATTCACTGTTCGACCGAGGGACTTAATAATTGTATTGTGTGGGGTACAGAGATGAGGTAGTCATTCAAAAATCATGTTAAACACTATTATCACTCACATGCAACTTATTATGTGACTTGTTAAGCACATTTTTAATCCTGAACTTATTGAGGTTTGCCATAACAAAGGGGTTGAATACTTATTGACTCAAGACTTTTCTGCTTTTCATTTTGAATTAATTTTGTAAAGATGTAGACAAATATTATTCCACTTTGACGTTATGGGGTATTGTGTGTAGGCCAGTGACAAAAATCTCAATTTTATTCATTTTAAATTTGGGCTGTAACACAACAAAATGTGGAAATAGTCAAGGGGTGTGAATACTTTCTGAAGGCGCTGTATGTAACACGTATTCTGTTTCTGTCAAAATGCTACACAGGAACATGAACTACGGTTAACATGCCATCTAACTTAGGAACTTTGGCTTTACTTGAAATGCTAAACCTAGTCTTAAAAAGGTTAAAAAGCCACAGAAGCTATTTGTTTGCATAACTTTGATCTTTGTTGATAATTACAATCATAACAATTAGCCTTTTGGTGGCCCTTAGCGAGATTTGGTTGGGGGGCCCCTCCCAACCGAGTGGGCAAATTTTTTTAGTGGCCCCCCTCTTGACCACGGAGAGAAACAAATTACTTTTTAAAGCACATTTTCTGCAGTTCTACGCATTTTTCCATGAGGCGGAGAGACAATTTGACAACATATTTCATTCAATTTTTGCAGTTTTAAAGCAAGTTTTCTGCAGTTCTACACGTTTTGCCATAGGGCAGAGAAAAATGTTTGCAATTTTATAAGAAATGTTATGCAATTCTATTTATTTTGCCATGGGGCAGAGATAATGTTTTGCAGTTTTAAAGCTACTTTCCTGCAATTCTACACATTCTGCCATGACTTATGCCATGTTAGTGATCTGAGTGAGAGTGACTAACAAAATGTATGTGGACCCGTGCCGGGTCTGTATTCAGCCATGATTACTACAAGTTTAGATAACTGGCTCAGGCCTCCTGTAGCTCAGTTGGTAGAGCATGGCGCTTGCAACGCCAGGGTTATGGGTTCGTATTCCCACGGGGGCCCAGTATGAAAAATGTATGCACTCACTAACTGTAATTTGCTCTAGATGAGAGTGTCTGCTAAATGACTGAAATGTAAAAATGTACCAATCAAAAAATTGTTAGCTGGCATGGCTAATTCAGTGACAAAACAAAGCAAAACAAGAGAAACAATGCTGATGCACAACCAAATGTCGAACTCGCACCTTGTATAATCTACTATTGTAAATTGAGACCCTGAGTTCCCTAATTGTTTTATTTAAAAAAGTGATTACATTTTTTGGGTCAGGGCCCCCTATTGGCCGGGGGCCCTAATTGACCGCCGATGTCCCTTATGCCTGTAACTGGCCATGATTGCAATACATAATATCTTGTACAGTTTGAAAAGAAAATAGTCCTCCCTTATCAACCTCAACTGTAGGCCTACATTGTTTCACACACTGTTTCTAAATTGAAAACAATGATAATGGTAACAGTGGTAATGGTAACAGTGGTAATGGTGACAGTGGTAATGTATGAACAATTTGCCAACATTGATAGTTGGATCCCTAGAAATGCTGGTCATATAAAGAACACTAAACATTCTCAATAAAAAATAAATAAAATAAATGCTATTTTCCTGTTAAGCCTTGGAGGGACAGTCAGTGAGAGTGGCCGAGACAGTTTTCTAAATTGGACTGCAACGCCTCACAGACTGCCCTGCTCAGAGATCCACAGAATCAGCACTGTCAGCTGAGCAATCCTACCTCCTCTCCTATTTTAGCCCTAGCAGTTGATCTTTCTCACTCTCTCTGCCATGGTACAGCAGCTGCAATGCTACGTGATATATCTGCACTGAGACGCATCGGGGAATCACACCACAGTGTAAATTAGCATCGCATAAAATGACCAAGAAAGGCGCACTGGAATACACAACTAGCTATAGGCCTAGGCTATGTTTATATTATGGCTATAGTTGGAAGAATAATGCACCTGTGCTGGCATTAAAAACAGGGTTATATGACCACACTGCACCAAGTTGAAAGAGTTACATGGAGTTGGAATAACAAACCCAATTGCCAATATCTTTTTAATGCCCAAGAAGAACTCCAGCTTCGGCTCGGAGTGTGTTGCATACAAATTAAACGCTATTTAGCAGTGGGTCTATTGTTCCAAAACCTCCTACGCTGCCAGCATGTAATGATACATTGTTGCAGTAAAATTCTACGGTATTTCTTTGCGATTATGTCACAGTCATCCGATAGCGCAAAAACATGAGAAAGTGCACCTGTTCTACTGACCTTTCTATCCGCTTCTCACTGTCAGTCAGCCACAGGACAGGATACAAGGTTTATTGCTGTCCCTCTCCCCAAAAATGCCCAAAAAGAATAAGTAAAAGGGGATTGGGTTGGTAAGGCGTTTTGTTTTTCTAATTCATCCGTCCCTGCTTTTGGTAACGCCGGTGCCGTACCCCCTGTGATAGCCAGCCGAAGCAGTTGAGGATTTTGCGAACTAAGACGCCGGAGGGAGGGTGGGGGTGGGGGTGGGGGTGCGGGTGGGGGTGGGGGTGCCACTCTGCGGGGATATATTTATATTTTTCAGAACTGCGCCGCAGTGAGAGGTGGTCCACTGACTGCCTGTCAAAACAGACGCAGGCTCCACAGCGCAGAGAGAATGGAATGGATACTGTCGTAGCCTACTCTGACATGATGATGGTTCTGCTGTATCATATTCCAGAAAGCGTAGCCTACATGAATGTTCACATATTACAATGATAGGCTACCCACTGGACACACCGTGTCATTTCAACGTGGATAATTGGGTAATACTTGGTTGAGACGTTGATCAATGAGATTACCAGCTATATTCACCCACTCAAAAAGACAGCCAAAAGTTAGTTGAATTTCCAATGTGTTATCACTATGCTTTCAACCATCTAAAAGCACAACCAAATTCCAATGGAAAAACAATGTCTGATTTTTGGTTTAGTTGTCACCCAAATGTCTATCACTGCGCTTTCAAACATTTAAAAAGCACAGCAAAGTTCAAATGGGAATACACAATGTCAGATATTTTATTTATATTTACAGATTGTGTTATCACTGTGCTTCATCAAATAGCTAAACCAAATGACCTGGATTGCAGTTGAGATTACATTAAAACTACATGGTGCAAGTGATCAATGCCATTCGAGATTCTGCGCAGATTATTACACCAATTGTGAAGATCTCGACAGACCTGCAAATACCTATGCATGCTATCAAATAAAATAAGATGTTATTGGTCGTGTACACATACTTTGCAGGTGTTATCGCAGGTGCAGTGAAATGCTTACGTTTCTAGCTCCAACAGTGCAGTAATACCGAACACAGTAGTGGGTCGCAGTTCCGGAGCCACCCACTAGGTGTCATCCTCCGACAACCATAGGCACCTCCTCACTCACAGTCGGGACTAATTATCTGCCTATTGGTGTCACCTGTGATTATCTGATTCACCTGTGTATTTATGCCCTCACTTCCCAGTGTTCCCTCGCTCAGTTTTCTCTGCTAGTTCCTTGATGTCAAGCAGTACGTGTCAGTGTCGGATCACGTGACGGAGTTACAGGTACTCGGGAAGTGTTCTCCCTGTGTCATTGTGTTTTTCCAGTCAGAGTTAGTATTTCATACTGCTTGTCGGCAGGGTGACCGTTCAGTGACGGACTACTCCGTGGAGTTCCGGACCCGGGCTCGAGAGGCAGGATGGGAGGAGGCCGTCCTGGTCGTCCTGTACGTGCAGGCGCTATCGGAGGGGATGAAGGACGAACTCTCCTTCAGGGAGCTGCCTGAGCAACTGGACGGCCTTGTCGACCTCTCGGTGCGGGTGGACAATCGGCGTTGTGAGAGGGTGTACGAGAGAGGCATGATGCAAGGCTCGCCTCCGAGTCTCCCTATCAGCCCAGAGGCTTTCCGCTGATTCACGGAGGAGACACCTCAGGAGGAGGCTATGCAGTTGGGTGCAGCGCGCTTGTCCCGGATGGAGAGGCAGAGGTGTCTGCCCCAGGGACGTTGCCAGTACTGCGGCCACGCAGGTCACCATGGCGACTCATGCCTGGAGAGGGCTCGCTGGTATCGGGAGGGGTGCTAGCGAGCTGGAACCGAAACCCCAACTCCTGAGACGCCTGGACTTTTCTCCCCGTCAGGGTTCAGTGGGCCCGCGCTGCGCGTCGGGCGCATGCACTGGTGGATTCTGGGGCCGTGGGAAACCTGATGGACGAGGGGCTGGCCCAAAGGTGTTACTCTCTCTCTCTCCGAGATGGTCATGGGCCTGGACGGCCGGCCGTTGGGGTAGAGCTGCATCACCCGGCGCACTGTCCCTGTTTGTGTCCGGGTGGCGGGGGGCTATTACATTTACATTTACGTCATTTAGCAGACGCTCTTATCCAGAGCGACTTACAAATAGGTGCATTCACCTTATAGCCAGTGGGATAACCACTTTACAATGTTTTTTCTTTTTTTTTCTTTTTCTTTTTTTTTTTTTTTCTTTTTTTCTTCTTTTTTTGGGGGGGGGGGGGGGGGGGGGGTGGGTTGGGGTAAGGGGGGGGGGGGGGGGGGTAGAAAGATTACTTTATCCTATCCCAGGTATTCCTTAAAGAGGTGGGGTTTCAAATGTCTCCGGAAGGTGGTGAGTGACTCCGCTGTCCTGGCGTCGTGAGGGAGCTTGTTCCACCATTGGGGTGCCAGAGCAGCGAACAGTTTTGACTGGGCTGAGCGGGAACTGTGCTTCTGTAGAGGTAAGGGGGCTAGCAGGCCAGAGGTGGATGAACGCAATGCCCTCGTTTGGGTGTAGGGACTGATCAGAGCCTGAAGGTACGGAGGTGCCGTTCCCCTCACAGCTCCGTAGGCAAGCACCATGGTCTTGTAGCAGATGCGAGCTTCAACTGGAAGCCAGTGGAGTGTGCGGAGGAGCGGGGTGACGTGAGAGAACTTAGGAAGGTTGAACACCAGACGGGCTGCGGCATTCTGGATGAGTTGTAGGGGTTTAATGGCACAGGCAGGGAGCCCAGCCAACAGCGAGTTGCAGTAATCCAGACGGGAGATGACAAGTGCCTGGATTAGGACCTGTGCCGCTTCCTGTGTAAGGCAGGGTCGTACTCTCCGAATGTTGTAGAGCATGAACCTACAGGATCGGGTCACCGCCTTGATGTTAGCGGAGAACGACAGGGTGTTGTCCAGGCTATGGGAGTGTATCCAGTTTTTCATTGTCCCCTCGTCCTCGTGCACCCCTGGCTGGCCACAACCACCCCGGATAGACTGGTACACGGGGCGGCTCATCCTGGAGGGAGGCTCCGCCCCCGTCCTGTTCGGGTCACCACCGACCACTCATCAGCCCAAACCACCGTCCCAGACCACCTACCAGTCCTCACCTCTTCCCCAGGAGTTTTGGGATCTGGGGGAGGAGTTTAGTAAGAGGCGTGCCAAGGGCCTACGTCCTCACAGGCCGTATGACTGCGCTATTAACTAGAAAGGACAAACCTAGGAATCTCCATATCGACTTCAGTTAAGACAAAATAAGGCATGAATTTCTTTCGGCACAAGTTAATGGAATCTTAGGCCGTACCTAGCCACTGCATTATTCTGGGGAACGAGGGCCAACATGAAGAAATTCACCTGAATTGCAGTGCATTTCAAAGTAGCTCATCAAGACATTTACTTGATGGATCTATCAGAACTACTGCAATTTTGAAGAACTGCTATAAATTTCTAATAGAAAAAGTCTGAGAGCATCATTTACCAAACTACTTTTTTGATTGGGTGGAATCAATATGGAACCAGTGTATGGACACCAGGGATGCAAGGCCAGTATAATTCATCGCTGTGTTGTTATACATCACACATCTTTTCTATATCCCACACGAGGTCGATGGCTTTCCTTGTACCGGCCGGAGACGCTGGCCATGAGGGACGACCCCATTGGCCCCAATGCCCTGATGGCTGCCCCAGTTTCGTGGGGAATTGATAGGCTGGTCAGAGCAGCGCTACGGCGGGAGCCCAATCCGGGCGGGAGGTCCATCGGGAAGGATGTACGTATCCAAGGCTGCGCGCTCTTGACTGCTTCAGTGGGCGCACGCGTCCTACCTCACCAGCCATCCGGGGGGGGGGGGCAACAGGACGTTGGAGTTCGTGCGTAGAAGGTTCTGGTGGGCATTTGCTGAGGGGAATATGCGCGCCTTCGTGGCTGCTTGCCCGGTGTGCGCACGCACGAAGAGCTCACGTCAGCCCGCGGCAGGGCTGCTCCGACCCCCAAGCGCCCCTATTCCCCGAGCAAGAGAAGGAGGCGGCGGTTCCGTCGGGCCAATCAGAGTGGTCCGGTGAGTCAACCCAGTGACCTACCGTCTGCAACTTCCCCCCACCATGCGGGTGCATCCCACATTCCATGTGTCCCTCCTCAAGCCCGTCACCACCTGTCCCCTGGCTCCCCCTCCTCATCCTGTTCCCCCGCTGCGCCTCATCAGAGGGCATCCGGCTTTTACGGTGGAACCGATCCTGGACTGCCGGCGGGTGGGGAGGGGTCTCCTATTTTTGGTGGACTGGGAGGGTTATGGGCTGGTGGAGCGGTCCGGGGTGCCCAGGAGGGACATTCTGGACCCAGGGCAGATACAGCATTCTGTCGCCTCCACCCGGAGGTGCCTAGGTGAATGGCTTGGGCCGTTCGTCGGGGGGGGCACTGTTACAGGAGTGGGTCGCAGTTCCAACCATAGGCACCTCCTCACTCACAGTCGGGACTAATTATCTGCCTATTGGTGTCACCTGTGTCTATCTGATTCACCTGTGTATTTATGCCCTCACTTCCCTGTGTTCCCTTGCTCAGTTTTCTCTGCTAGTTCGTTGATGTCAAGCAGTACGTGTCAGATCACGTGACGGAGTTACAGGTACTCGAGAAGTGTTCTCCCTGTGTCATTGTGTTTTTCCAGTCAAAGTTAGTATTTCGTATTGTTTTTTGTCAGTCTGTTTTTTGGAGACCTATGTGCTCCTCATTTGTTTTCGTGTGTAGTCCATTGTTTTGTATCCTGGTCTTTGGACCACCAGTAAAGATCCTTGTTTCACCATCCTTGCCTACTGCCTATCCTGCACCGCACCTGTGTCACACCTCACACCAACCCTTACAATTCTACACATTTTTCCATGTTTTCTTTGTGTTTATATGATACCAAGGGTCGAAGCCTGACCACGTTTTTTTTTTTTTTTGTAGTTGTGACCCGATGTCCGTATTGACCCCATTCTGGTGCAAATAGCTGTTGACGACTTTACAAATGGTATACAGGCCTAAATAGCATCATTACATTTACATTACATTTTAGTCATTTAGCAGACGCTCTTATCCAGAGCGACTTACAGGAGCAATTAGGGTTAAGTGCCTTGCTCAAGGGCACATTAACGTCATTTAGCAGACGCTCTTAGCCAGAGCGACTCGCAAATTGGTGCGTTCACCCTATAGCCAGTGGGATAACCACTTTACATCATTGATAATACATGAGTGATAATGTTTGGTCACATTTCATTTGCCCTTTTAAACCTAACCTTTGGAATGACTTCAATAGTAACAGTGAATCTATTTCGTTTTTAAGTGGAGAACCCTGAACAATCATTCTCACGATAGCACATTGGTAGTAGTCAGTGACATATATCATAGCTGGGCTGGGCTGGGCTTGGTTAGGACCCTGGATGGGATACCAAAGGGTAGCTGTAGATAGATTCAATTCTCCAGTAGGAGGCGCTGCCAATATATATATATATATATATATATATTTTAAAGTGGATATAGATCTGACGTTGTTTACCATGATGACATAATCTTGTGGTTGAAATTTCACCCTCAAAACAACAGTTGATTACTTTTTTTCAAATCCAATGTATTTTCCACGTAGATTCCACTTCACAATATGTTGACAAATGACGTTGAAACAACAATGATTCAACCAGTTTGTGCCCAGTGGGTATTGAATGAAGATCTCACTGTTTGTAACTACCACAGGCTACTAGACACCAAATACCCAGATAACTGTATACCAGACATGTCTAGGCTACTCAAGTCTCCCTCACCAGATTATAACTGATGGGTGATAGCCTTTACCTCTGGCTACTGGGGAGCCACAATACCCACCCTTATTCTGGTTCAGATAATGTTCCATGTTTATTGGCTATCCATATATAAACCCAGGCTATCAGGCTACGTCCTCCTGAGTGGCGCAGTGGTCTAAGGCACTGCATCGCAGTGCTAACTGTGCCACTAGAGATCCTGGTTCGAATCCAAGCTCTGTCGCGGCCGGCCGCGACCGGGAGATCCCATGGGGCGGCGCACAATTGGCCCAGCGTCGTCCAGGGTAGGGGAGGGAATGGCCGGCAGGGATGTAGCTCAGTTGATAGAGCATGGCGTTTGCAACGCCAGGGTTGTGGGTTCAATTCCCACGGGGGGCCAGTATAAAAAAATATGTATTCACTAACTGTAAGTCGCTCTGGATAAGAGCGTATGGTAAGAATGTAAAATGTACTATAGCCATGAAGTATTGTTTTCAGGGTGTACCCTGGTACATTCAGTAGACCCATAGGGCTATGTACAGTACGGCTCTGGGTATAGCCTATGTGCTATCATCACCACTATCAAATGACGAGGCCTGCTGTGAACCAACCAGATAATGTGCATCGTCCTCCCCGTCTGTCCATACCATTAGCCTCATCAGCTTGAGGCACTGGGCAGGCAGGGCAAACTGGTCGGGACAAACTGTTAGAATATAATATAACATAACAAAATATAATATAATGGAATTAAACAGAACAGAATATAACTACATTTAATGTAATAGGTTGCTACACAGCGAGATGTAGCCCAGAGGTGTTTTTCAAGTTTACAAGTTTTAATGTCACATGCACAAGAACAGTGAAATGCCTTTCTTGCCAACTCAAAACCCAACAATGCAATAATCAGTAACAATGTATTGCTAGAAAAAAAACACGAGAAATAAGAATAGGAAATATGAAATACACAATCAAGTAAGTAAGTAAGCATACTATCTACAGGAAATATGAAGAAAAAAAAGTCAGTGGTATAGGGTGTCGTTAACATCTGTGATCACTAGAGGAAGACTTCTAAAAAAATGTATATTCTACTGTGTGAAGTAATGTTGTCCTCGCAATAGAATTGTATTAATAAAATGTCAATGAATGTTTATACTCATAATTTTAGATGGTCAAAGTTATAGGAACCACCATCCACGTGTTTCTTGTGAGCTGTTTGAGGGGCTCAGGGAGACCAAGAGGATGGTAACCTATAGGAGGAGCTGCAGAATTGAAATCTATAAATGCTCAATACAAAGGTCATAAATCCATAAAACCTGCAGCAATCAATAATAGGTTGTTAAGAATAATATAGTGCGCTGGTCTACAGAGAGCGGAAGAGGCCACGAGGACTTTGGTCCGTTGTGATGATCAATTGTTTCATGCTTTACTGATGAATAACATGCACACACACAAATGGGGTCATGGAATCTAGCTTTATTGATGCATTCATTAAACAGTATTTGCCATCAGTGATAAGAAAAGTATGTGTAAATAAACATTAAAACATAGGCTGCTCTATATATATATATATATATATATATATATATATATATATATATATATACTGTATACACAAACAAAGTGTACTATGCAACTGGCAGGCCCAACTGCTGTGTATTTTCGCTCCTCAGCTGGAATCTAACCCAAATTTAGCCTCCACACTGAACCTCCACCCACACACAGACAGAGATAGGTTACACAGCTCTGAAGGCATTCAAATGATGTGTCGGTAACGTGAGAGCAATGCCAAAAGGCAGCTTCTGATGCAATTGAACACTTCGGCCACCAGATGGCGCCCATGTCATTTCAGATAGATTGGTCCAGTGTTGTTGATTGGGTCCAAGCTGATTGTGGACCCATCCGTCCATCTCAAGGTTCCATATGCAATTGTTGAAAGAAAAACATTCACAAGCGTTTTTACAGGTGGAGTAGAGTTCTTGAGGTAAAATATTGATCTGTGTCAACATGGACATCTCCATGATACCCCCTGACTTTTTTTTTTTTTTTACCCAATTCATGCATTGGCTGGAATCTGACCTAAATTGTGCAAAAGCTATGATGTACTGGCCATTAATCATAGACTGTCAATAATTTTGGAAGCAACATTTCATAAGGCAGTGACTCAAATATCATTGACCCAAAGTGGTATGTTGATACAGCCGTAGCTACGGAGGTTTTATTTTTGATCCAGGGGAGGGGGTTCCTAGAAACCGCCCCCTCCCACTTGAGCGCTGCTAGCTTGTGATCCATTTCATGAATATCAAATACACACGACGCCTCCATGTTGGAAAGAGTGTAGAGGGGATACAATTATTTTTGAAAATGAGAGTTCAAGAAACGGGATTATCGGAACTCGCCCACTTTCGTATTGAAACTTGACGGAGGCGACCGCGGGAGGGCTTTTTCATCGTTTCAGTCAACGTCAATTTTATGTGGAATTGAACACTGACCAGTTCAAGGCTAACTCTAGTGGCTAGCCAGACGTTAGCAACGTTTTCTTATTTTTAGTTCAACGTTGGGAGTTTGTTTTGCCCATGCTGTTCTTGGATGTTGCTTGCTAAATTTGGGTATTCCCAGCGTTTGACAAGTGGTGGTATTTTGCGTTTAAACCACTAGTTAGTTACATGTAGTCCCCTCCTGTGTCCTGTCTCAGTCCATTTGGCCATCGTTACACTAGCTAGCTAGTTTAGGGCCCGGCTGCCATTTCCAACACAGTTAGCAAGGCAGCTACGGTAGCTAACGTTAACCTTTGTGGACTAGGACTAGCTGGACATCTTGCTTGTAGAAAACAAGCAAACAAACATAAAAAAATAACCAAAAAGGAATAACCATCGCGTCGCAATGGACCACACGTCTATAATAACCCAGGTTTCCAATCCAAAGGAGGAGGAGATTATCTCGTTTAATCAGGAAAAAGGTAAGAAAAAGGCCACGTTAATGTATGGGAGCTAGTTG